AAGGACGTAATTGGTGGATTGATTGATATTCTCAAAGAAGTAGTGGGAGCCCAGATAGTGTTTGTCCATGTATATTTGTAAGTCGTGAGTGTGAATAGCTGCAGCCACTTTGATCACTTTGTTTCCTGTCTTTATGGTTTGAAATCGCTAAAATCTGGGTGAACACGTTAACAGAACTCTGCGACATGTACGCATGCCTGTGGGGAACGGTCCAGAACAAACTAACAAATTTGACCCAAGTAATCCCATCATAAACAATCCGATGAGGCACGATTATACATTCTGAATCGAAGTTTAACTTTCTCCGTGAGAACTTAATCATAATTATCATGCATACTGAGTGCACACACATTTTAGATTGGGAACATTTATGTCTGCTAGCCGCAAATGGAATTGTCGAAAGAGAGGTGGAAGTTTGGACATACACTTTGCCTGTTTTCACCATCAGTGAGTCAGTAACCATGGTTAGAATAACTGTAAGTGAATTGTTGGTTTAACACCACCTACCACACAGTCAGCAAATGTGCTGTGTTTAAAAGTACTATCGTATTGTTGTGTACAAGAGTAAAGTTGTTTGTGGATAAAACCGAAACCTCTATATAGATATCTTACATCACAAGATAATTTGTATTCATAAATGCATTTTAATAGGCCGCAGAAAAGTCGAAACAGCTCGACGCATTGAATGAAATGTACACAAGCAATGCATCTCACGATGTAAGTGTGGGCAAAGTGAACGAATTCGTTTGCAAAAACACTGTACTTTTGCAACATCTAAACTGCTTGCGCTTGCAAGCCGTCTTCCACAGTTCCTTTATATTAATACTCACATAATTGCAAGCTTCGTTATTGCTTTGTTTCATATCGAAAAAAGAAAATGATTTTTAATGCATATAGTCTGAACTGACATCGGTAATTAATTGCTTGCCTTGTTGGAATTCTGGCCCAACAGTTTTATAGTGGCAGAAACTTCCCTGCTGCCAAAGATGCTTGATGATTTATATGCCTTTAAAAATATGGCAAAAATAGGGTTATTGCGTATGTAATCACCTTACCATACTTTGTGCCAAACTCATTCAAAACGGTCCCAAATGTTTAAATGAAATGTCTCGGTTGATAAGATGGCAGATAAACGTAAGGTCAATGGAATAGCACACAATATTTCAGATAACTTCCCATATCGGAGTTTGTTCGGTAGCTGACGCTTCGAAGACGAAACTATATAAACATTGGAGTAGAAGCAAGCAAGTAGTTCAGAGGTGTCAGGCAATTGAAGTTTGTCATTTAATGACTTTGCAAGCAGCGTTGTATCAATCAGAGTACGTTGCGCTGATAGCCGAAAAGAATAAGATTGAAGACAATCGGTTATTAAATGGCTCAACTTATTTGTGCTGTAATTGTTGCGTCACTGCATAAAATGATGCTGACCAATGCAAATTAGGTGAATTCGTAGTATTAAATCTCAGTAATTGGCCAGATAAATGGAATGGGTAGTGTGAGCCTTAGATGTACATAGAAACATGATTAAACGGGCCAGAATGAATGTCGGGTTGCTTCTGAAGATGGGGCGACAAATGTGTGGCTGCGAACATGCATAAAAGCAATTCACAACAGAAATTTGTCTGAATTTAATGAAAATGCCAATTATTTAAAGATTGGGACCTTGCGTAAAAGTCACTGACATTCACAATGTTGACTACATTTTTTTAAAAACACCAATATTTAGTTATTAAAAACGGCATTCTAGCATGTCATTAGTAGAAAAATTTTCGTATAATACAGTTTGAAATTTTAAAAAGGTGCTGGTTGATGTAAAGGAGATGGAAAACCTTAGGTATTCAAAAACGGCTTAACATCCATCTACTACATGAGCTAAAATATTGATATACCAAAATTCTAAAATTTTAGCATCTTTGAGTCTTATGAAACGGATGGGTTCCGACAACTGAATCCGACATTAAGTGTCACCCAGGGGTTGCCTAACATTTGGGGCGCCAGCGAAATGACTGTTTGTCCGGTGGAACGGTAGTGCACCTGTCGGGGTGACGACGGAGTTGCTCGGTGCGAAGAGTTGCTCTGAGAGCTGTGGTGTCATCATTTAGATCACTATCAAGCAGGTAGTAAAAATCCTCCTGCGCGCATATAAAAATGTACTTGCCTGCTTTTATGTGATCGCACAACATTGCGAAATTTCAAGGTTTAGTTTAGTGAAACCACCCCTGTTGCAAATTTTTATTACTGAACTAAGTGAACTCATTCAAAATATCCTTACAGATAGGCACCCACTTTATGTTAGGTGATTCTAGATTCAACTAAACTCATAAAAGAGGCCCCAGACTTTGACACAAAATTATCGGCAGGACCCGCGGAAAAATATTGCAAAAAAGGACAAATGTCAATAATTTTCATAACATTGAAGCTTATTTCCATGAGGCAATCCCTTGTGGTCCAAATATTCAGATAGCACTTAAAAGTAATCAGAGTTGGTGACTAAGGTTTTCTGATCTACTTGATCCACACACATCCACTTGAGTTCCTTCATCGAATTAAATTTTTAAAAGATGCACTATGATTATAAGAAAAAAATATTAAAAATCTGCAGAGTAATTAAGGACAGTGGTTGTTTTTAAGATAATTTTCTAATCTGTCTGTTTCGGACTCATGAAAAGTCAACTTGACTAGCATAGGGTCCTAACAAATAGAATTGTAACAGAAAACGCACATCTTTCTTAAAGTCAGATCAAGCAATTTCAATTAAGTAGTTAATTCAACTATGCTCACAGTCTATGACGTTATGTATTATTACTCCTGTACAATCAGTAATTTCTAAATTTTTATCGTCCGTCGAACAAACAATTTTATGATTAAAGATTTGCAAAGGTTTATCGGCAATACTTTCCATTTCATTTAACATGGCTAGAGAACAATGAAATTATTTCAAGTAAGGTTTTACTTGGTTGTACGTAGTGCTGTATGTTCGACTGATATGATAAATCGGTTATAATAATGAGCGAATAATCCACATTTCCAAATAATTTAAAAAAATTACACCTTAGCTTTGCTTCATGCAGAACAGTCTAGTAAACCTCATAAGCTTAAATGTGTTTTGTCGTAACTAAATTAGTCTCAGGCATTTTTCGTTTTAATTAACGTGAGTAATCAGTTTCCATAGCAATTGAAAGGCGCAGTTGTAAATGTGGCCGATTGTTGTGTATAAATTTTGTACCTGTTAGCAAATTAGTAAAATGGTATCATATGACACAAAACAATATTTTTTAGTATCGCCAAGCCGTAAAACATAAATTGAAGGATACGGAGTCGGATGCCTTCTTTCTGCCAACTATTGATCCAAAACGCATGCGCCCGAAATGGGCAAGTACTGCGCCAACATTTGTTGATTCTAACAAGCGTGTACTTGGACCGCCTGTTGGCGCTGATGTTATTTCTGGACTCACTAATAGTAGGTTTTAACATCGTGACCTCAATGTCCACTACAATATTTTTGACCAAGCATTTTAAGACAATCGTGCTACACCTTAATCAACATAACTAGGTGTGGAAGTTTTGCTTGATTACAATATTAGGCCTTTTCATTGTGTATTCCCAAAGGCTTATTTCAGGTTTTTACCAGCTCAAAGTATTTTCAGTGTTGCAGGCAAATTTAGAAATTTATCCAGAAGTCAATTCAGCTTAATGTTAATTAGTATGGGTGTATTTTTGTTAATGCATCGTAAATTGCAATTAATTTGGCAAATTTTAATTGCCTAAGTGGTTTTAAATTTTTTGCTTGTACATCGAAACATAATTTTGTTACTTTAGGACGAATATTATATTATGCACACTTACGAAGAAATAAAAAGTCTTTATGAACAAAGGCCAATTTCATTATATGTATTCGTTATTTATACTTAATCGTGCTTAAAATTTTAAACGTCAAATCTAACTGTCTGCTTGAAATGGTTGTTCATGGTATTTATAGCGAACAATAACGTTTATGGATGGGTTGGAAAGTTTGATTGACGAGTATTCACACACCTTGAAAGCCAGCCCACTTCGATTGCTGTCAAAGAAATGTAATCGTAGAGACAAGTGTAGATAATCTAACAGACATCTCAAACTTTCAAATATTTGGAAGTCCTGCAATGCAGTAACGTTGGCGATAGTTCCGCTTACTATATTGCATTAAATTAAATGCCATCACCTCAGTAGACTGAAAAATTAATTTGCTACTTTTAACGCAGTCATCAACTACTAATCATTGTGATCATGGCAACACAAACCCATCCTAATTTTCTCCAGTAGCTGTCCCTCAAGTGTTTTGTTAAAATGTAGCATGTGATGCATTCCCTTGAGCCACTTGTTGGTTTTTTCGGAAATATCCCAAATTGTGGCTGCAAAAGCGCTTCCGTTTATTTAGGTTTTTGAAAATAATATCGTTAGATAATGACAGGAGAAATACAGCGTCCACGTTTACTAACTCTTAGATATTTTGCTGCACAAAGTCACTAAGTGTTTTGTCTTTATTTTACTGTGCTATTCCGACATAAAAAATGTTTCTTCATTATAAACTTGGATCACTTTTAACTTGACGCATTTCCACGCAGATCCTAATGTATGCCCTTTTATGTTTCAGAAGGTTCGCCCAAAAGTCGAAAGTGTAAAGAAGACTTACAACATGATGCATCTAAAAAGATGAAAAAGGAACGTGAAAACTTTAGGAAATATCTCATAGAAATGATAACGTAGGTTTTTTTTAATTTTTAAACCATTACTATTTGCCAGGGAAGGAAAGCAACCCATAGTTGAGAGTTTTGTGGGTAAAAGTCTTCCTCAAATAAAGCAAGATGGAGCCGGTATAAGTCAACGAGAGAAAACAATATTGGTAGCTATTGCTTTTAGGTTGTCTTTTCTTAATTGAAAACTAGAGATACTACTATTATATTAACAATGGTATCGACACTGACCATGTGGCGCCCATGGAAGAAATATGGATGACTAACATGAAGAAAAGCATTCGCCCATCCGTGAAGGTAGATGTTTGGTGAAATCATATCAATGCTTGCTTGTCTTACCAGTGCGCACAGTATGCAAGATCTTTTTGGGTTACTAAAGCATAAGAAAACCCCAATTCTTATTCAAAATCAGCTTTATTTTGCCTCATTTGCTGCCCTTTCATAACTAAATGCCGTTAATTTTCTTTCAGTAGCTCTTTTTCCAATTAACCTCTTAAAACGGTGGACTCCATCTTAGGTACTCCCGTTCTTACATCAATTGTGTTTTCTATCTGGACCAGCCTGATGGAGATTAGTCTTGCCAAGATGTTCAAAATGGAATAACAAAATGCCACAGCTCTGAGAACTTCATTCAGATAGTCAAATTTCCGGCATTTATTAATGATCGTTCCAAACGACTAATGCACTTTTAGCTTCTGAGTGTGCATAATTCACTTTTGTTTCTCATATTCTGAGGAGATGAAGAAAAAACTGACTGCATGTGGTCGCACCTGACGAACTTTCTACTAATTTAAAAAACTGTAATGCTCCTTAATTAATTATTTCTTTCAAACGACTTTATTAAAATAGGCTGAAGCAGATGAGAAGCTGATGGAATCTATTGAGGATGAAATTCGCGAAGACTATCTGCTTAGCGTGAAAAAGGCAATCGTGAACTTTGTCTTAACGGATCCCTCGGACCCCGCTATGGGCACTATCTCTGGAGGATTTCAAAAAGACGGCAAAGAGCAATCCATACTCATATTGAATCACCGACGCGAATTATCCGTGGTACCCAAACCATGGCACAATTCATTTCTGAGTGCCCAACGCTTTTGTAGGGCAAATTTGCATGTCACAAACCGGTGTATGCAGCAGGTTCTTGACCTCTGGTTTGCTCAGTTCAAGTAAGTCTTAGTTGTTTAAAATGATCGGTAATTTTTTTAAACTGTTTTCACTTCAGCGTCGAAAGTGTACAATATGCTCAGTTTATGTTAAATTGTACCCGTAACCAAGAATCATTCACTCAGCTAGCCGGCACCCCAAATCCCATGTCTGATGCTAGACCCCACTTTCCTAGCCCAGTAAAAAGAACAGACCACGTGTGGAGCTCTTATTGTCTCATCCAGAAGCCGAGTGATCTGTTAGAATGTGCCCACTTATATAAGTCAAGGATGACCTTCACCTGATAGGTGAAGGCGGATTAACACGGAGCTGTCAGTAGGGTGCCGTAAGTGACTCACCTACTCAAATGGCCCGTTTAGGAAAATTGCGTAGACGACGAAATCCTAACTCACAATGAGCCTTCTTGGGGAATGATGGATCCTCAACAGTTTATTATAAATAACATTGCTATAGTCTGCGTGATCGTAAGAAGTGGTCAGATAATTTCTTTCATGATTTTTAAATTTATACTCAAAAGTAAATCCGTGTCGTGAATCCAGTCTCCTAGAGCCATTTATTCCATGGTTTCACGAGTAAAGCTTGCGATACATAGATCAAGTAAACAAAGCATTTAATTCTGTAAGTAGATAACAAACCGGCTATGCTTTCTTCAATTTGTGTCACGAATATCGTAATAATTATAAGCGTCCTACCTACGGTAGCTGAATTACATATGTTAATCAGTTATTTTCATACTACTTGGTTGTAATGAGGGAGAGGTTTGTATAGCCATAATTTATGACTTCAGGTCTTTCAAGGAATGAAATGATCTTACAAACCCCTTTCAATGATTTTCAAAATGATTCATGAACAAAAAACAAGACATAGAGCCCACTAACTATATTCTTGTTGCCATTTCCACGTACCTTATGCTAGCAATCTTCGACTTATTGATCCACGTGAGTTCTACAAGAAGACTGGTGCAATGGAGCTGTCTACATTTCAACACTCCTGCATTAAAAGCATTGACTCCACAAAGGAAATTCTCCTGAAAAAGTATGATATTTTGCATGCGCTAGATTATGATTTAAATATCGATGGTTAGAAATTGTGTCAAATCTTTTGTCTGACACAAGTGTCATTTTCCCAATCCAGAACAAAGACAATATGGAGATCTTTTGTGAGCTCAGCTCAGAGTTTAGTCAGAACTGCTAGCTTATATAATTCATTCGTGACCTTGACCTGAAAGATCGAGAGGGACTAAGACAGGTGGAGCCGCCTGTGGCGTGCCGTGGATGAATGACCACCTGATGCGAGTTTCCCCAGCGCACTGTATGATTGTGTTTCACTCCAGCAGACCGCATCGTTCTCTTCTAACCTATAAGATTTAATTACAAAAAAGCTGTGCCACTCACCACATGCGCATACAAGACTAAAAACTTCAGAATATTGTCTATCATGTTTTCATTCAAGTACCCGAAGTATTTTAATCAAGAACAAAATCATTATCCTCTTTTTTACTTGAACCTTACAGGTGGATGAACGAAGTGCAAAACATTTTCTATCAAGGAAACAAGAAAGGTCTAGTGCCTCCCAACAAAGATTCACAGCGTCTCGAGGCGTTTTTTCGTTGCGCAGCCGTGCTGATGATGAACAATCTGCAGCTTTTGGGCTTAAATTCTATGAAAGATTTTACTCTTCTGGTCTGCAGCCCACCAGTAGGTTAGCATTTCCTATACAACCTTTTAATTCATATTAACTGCTCAATCCAATGGGTACGACTTTATAGCGCATGTATGAACGCATCACCAACGAAAAACAATTCAACGGACACATCAGCTTTACGAGAGCGAAGGTACGATGGTGTCTATGAAGAATAATGGGGAATGACTTTCATTATTTGCAATATCTTTCTCTTAGACGGAAAACCAGGAACAAATGCCTGGTTTTATTCTCCGCTTGGTTCTGGAAGACAAACAAATCAAGTTTGACCCGACAATTGAGCAATTTGAGGAAAGCATTATGGGACTACTTGATAAGATATTTCGTGTGGTCCAAAGTATACCTCGAATCGAAACTCGGTTATACGCCGAATGGGTAAGTGACTAACATCCTGCCTAACTAAAATGACATAACACTATAAGCATGGTTTTTATGTGTTCAGCAAGGTGCTGATGGGGAAAAGGTTGCGTTACATCCCGTGATCCTTCCAGAGGTTTTTGAAGCATTCAAGAACCAGATCAAGGCCACTCTTAAGAGAGAAGCTCGTGGGCCAGAGCACCACCTTCAGACCTACAGCAAATACCAATTCTTAATCACCCGTCAAGTAAGTGGGTCATAATGTGATCGTCTCATTCAGCTTCCAAAATTACGCGTCCAAACGGTGCTTGAAGGCTGAGAATGAGAGTTTGTACCAATTTTTGTGGTTATCGCCCTCGAAGCTTCCTGTTCACATTAAATTAGCTGACTATCTGTAACTCGTTCAAATAAATTTTCCACTAAATTGCATGAATACGTGGACAAAAACTAAAGGATCATTATTCTAATTAATTCACATGTAATAAGAGCCACATTTTGAGTGTCATAGCAATGAATTTAAAGTAATTCAACTTAGAATTATAATGACTAGATGTTTAATATTCTAAGTTAAAATCCCAAAATAACTAGCATGAAATGTGACAGATAATATAATCAGCAAGTTTCTCCACAGGTAGTGCTAGAACAAAAATGTGTACATTTTTCGTTCCCATTTAAGCTCAAAAGAATAATTAAGAACGTGAAAATGCCATTGATTGCTTTCTGTACATCTGTCTATTACTACGGAACAATGATTTTCAATATTTACGAATGATACTGGGTCCCTACTGCTCAACTTTGAGACTCAGTACGCTTAAGAATGTTTACTTTAATTTGAATGCATTAAACTGTAAATACACCAAATGTTGTTGAAAAGTGGAACGTTTGTTATAAGTTTACCGTAGCCAACATAGGTGCCGCAGACCTATTTCCAAGATCAACAAAGCAAGATCTGGGAAAGATTATTTAATTTGTTAGAATAATTTGTGTTTCAAGTCATCGATGCAATCCTTCTGATTCATTATAAGCACAATTTTGGTTTTTTCCAGGCCGAACTTGACATTGAAAGTCTCTTAAATCCGAAGGATTCATCATCCTCTATTTCCGTCAAAAAACGCAGAGGTGACGGCGGGGATAGCGATGAAACTGTTGAAGAAGACTACGAAATGGAGTCGATTGATGAAGTAGAAGCTGGAGAAGAGACTGGAAGGTCTAGCCGCTCTGGCAATTTCCTTGAAATGCCTACAGGTCCCACCTTTGAGGAATTGACCCGAGAGCTCTTACGCTACCGCTCAATCACTAAGAAGATACAGTATGAGACGCGACGCACCATCCAGTTGGGCATGTTTGAAGTTCATGCCGATGAGTTAGTTCGGGCCTTAGTAAAAAGGGCCGAAGGAATCTCGGACAAAGTGCTGGACAGAATCCTGGAAGATCACCGTTCCATCAATCGATCGTAAGTTGCATTCCATGTTTATTCGAGTCTTATTATAAGTCAAGCTGATGAATACAAAAAATGACACTAAAAATTGGACCTTATATAAGACAACTCATTGTGGATAACAGCATAGTGACGTGCGTGTTCCACAGGCCTTACGTGTCTTAAAAAAATCAAATATACCATCAGTTTCTACCACTTTATTTAGGCTGTGTATTGCCTTTATGATGATTTGTTTAGGCATGGGACTGAGGAACGTGGAAATTAGTGTGGTCTAAAAGGAACAAATGAAGAACAGGTATAGCCCGTTACAACACAGATTTGGAGGAGGGAGCTAGGTTAGGTCAAAAGTAAATTCGATGTCTTTTGATATTCTTTTTTATTGAAATATATTGATGATCAACAACGGTGCCTCTGTAATTAGAACTAACCATAAATGGTTATTTTTTCCGTCTTCCGGGGATCTTAGTAAGGCCTTTGTTATTATTTGCAGTCTCATCCGACATTATGAAGACATCGCAGCCAAAGCCTTATCAATTCCTGCAGATACTGCAGAAATGATGAGTTTAATGGAGTATGTGAAGAAGACCGAAACAGTTACCATGGCCCTAATGGAGCGTGAACTGGACCGTTCAAAAGATCGGCTTCTTTTCCTAATGGACCATGCCCAACTGAATCCCTCGGATATGCGAATGAACAGTCAGGTTTTTGAGTGGCATTCTCGAATGGCCGACATTTTTGAAGAACATCGAACCATAGTTCACCAAAAACGCCAAGAGTTTGAAGTCAACCTGCGATATCGTCGAGAAAGATTTGCCGAGGAACTGGATAGTTATCGAAAACAGGTAGAAGAATTTCAGCACTTCGGAGATATGCAAGAAATGCTACGATATCTGAAAAAAGCGCAAGCTCTGGATGAACGTCTTGAGTTTGCCTTAGCTAAAATTGATGCCTTCAATGCTGAGGAAACTGCCTTCGGCTGGTCCCTGACGGATTATCCTCTTCGAACGGAGACCCAAAATATCTTAAAACCATACCTTAAGTTATATGAGATTACAGTGGAATTTAACAACAAGTACAAGGAGTGGATGGATGGTCTCATGGATAAGGTGAACCCAGAAGAGGCCGATAGAGACGTCTCGAACTATCACCGAAATTTGTTCAAACTAGAGAAAACATTTGAGCAGATTCCGGCTCCACGAAAAATTGCCAGCAAGATGCGACTTAAAGTTGAGGAGTTTAAGGAGCACCTGCCTCTAATATTATCACTTTTCAATCCTGGTTTGAAGGAACGTCACTGGCAGCAAATTTCAGAGGTTGTAGGATACACGCTTCGTAACGAGGAAGGAATGTGCTTGGCTAAATTGATCGATATGAATCTTGATAGCTACATTCCCAAGTTTGAGGCTATCTCTGAAGCTGCCACTAAGGAGCACAATCTGGAGAAAGCTATGAATAAAATGAAAAAGGAATGGGAACCGGTGAGAATAAAATTTTATTGCTTATGGGAAGGATAATTTCAGCTAACTGGCAACGCATTTCTTTAAAGTTTTTTTCAAAGATGAATTATAATTATGAGATATTCGTTACTATGTGACGATACTTAGTATGCTGAAAGTTTCAAGCTATTCGATTTTAGCTTTTCCTCGACTTACTCTTCTCTGATAATAAATAACAGAAAAGACTAAAAAGAGGGAAAGGTCCTTAAAAGTATGTAAAACTATAAGGCTGGGCTGCCAGGGGTTTCAACACAGTCTTAATGCAAATAAATTGCTAATTAATGCATGACGGTGTTGGTATCAGTTAGATGTTTAGAAAATAGGCAGATCATTTGATCCAAAAAGATATTCTTTTTTCCTTCTCACCCCCTAGTTACAGTTATGATTAAGATAGGTTCTTTGTGTAATTCTTTTTTGTTTGTTCGTGTTAAGCTGGAATTCACCCTTCTACCTTATCGAGACAGTGGTACCTTCATTGTTTCCGCAGTCGACGATATTCAGCTTATTCTAGACGACCACATTGTGAAGTCCCAAACCATGCGGGGATCACCCTTCATCAAGCCCTTCGAGAATGAAATCAGGTTGGCTGCCTGTCCGAACTTATAATATTCTGTCGGACGTGTTTTACAAATCGAAGTTACTGAAAAGTTTCATGTCCACACTTTAGATTGATTTTTTTACGTATACAATGCAAAAATTGCTTTTAATGGCACTCACATTATAGTACAATGGTGGCCTGATACTGATCCTCAGTTATATTTAGCATTCTTTAGGAATTACGAAGAACTTTTCGGTACATTTGACCTGGCCTCAAGGGTGTATGTACACGTTTGTTATTAAGTCAGAGTGTCAAAAACACTTTTGACCCCATTATTACGACAACTGCATTAATCAAATGATTGTTAGACTAAGTACTAATAAAAAGTGGGTTCGCTGAAATCTGCCCATGATGGTTATGGGAATAATAATCATTATGGTGATATTTCTATAATCTAAGAAATAGTATTGTTTTGTAAATGATTTGAGGTACAATCTACATGAAATCTGCGGACAATTTTCTAGTAACTTGATATTCTGATAACCGACTCTTGATGTGCTAAGGGATCATGATGCTCAAATAACTCGATTTAGTTGCATTTCTGTCATTAAAAGATCAGCAAGTTTCAGTTGCACTGTTTTTAAGGGAGTGGGAGTCTACTCTGGTGATGACCCAGGACATTTTGGATGCCTGGCTTAAGGTACAGGCGACTTGGCTCTACTTGGAGCCTATCTTCAGCTCTGCAGACATCATGGCCCAGATGCCGGATGAGAGCCGCAAGTTTACGTCCGTGGACAAGACTTGGAAAGAGTTGATGAAGCTTGCCGTAGCCGATCCCCACGTTCTGGCCGTCATCAAGATTGACAAGATGTTGGAGAAATTCCGCAAGGCTAATGACTTCCTTGATATCATACTGAAAGGTTTGAACGCGTATTTGGAGAAGAAGCGCCTTTGTTTCCCCCGCTTCTTCTTCCTGTCAAATGACGAACTCCTTGAAATCTTATCCGAAACCAAGGACCCAACCCGTGTGCAGCCCCACTTAAAGAAGTGTTTTGAGGGAATTGCTAGGCTCAATTTCACAGAGGAACTAGACATTACGCATATGTGCAGTAGCGAGGACGAGGTTGTGCTTCTTAAAAGCGTCATTTCAACCTCGAAGGCGCGCGGTGCCGTCGAGAAGTGGTTGATTGAACTTGAGGCTGATATGACTGCGTCAATAAAGCAGAACATATTTAAGTGCCTCGAGGATTATGTTAAGACTCCCAGAAATGAATGGGTGAAACATTGGTGTGGACAGGCTGTGTTAGCTATCTCGATGACCTATTGGACTAGTGACTGCACAATGGCCATCAACGCGAGTTTAAAAGAGCTCAGCGAATATCTCCAGGTAAGCCACTAACTCATCAAAGAGGGCATTACAAATCATAAATTGCTTTTTATTTGTCATTAAATTCTATTTTTTGGTCTTTAGGGTAGTTTTAAGAAAATCTTAGGTGCTGGAAAATAGTGCCTTACATTTTTTTTAAAGAAAACAGCACAGAGTAGTAAATTATCGACATTAGCCACATCAATCAACAGTTGTCACTGTGTGCTGTCCGTGTGCCTTCATAACAAAATATGTATTATGTTTAATTATTGATTTAATCCCATGTTGACTGTTCTTGCAGCCTCTTTGGTGTTCTTTGGTCTTTGCAGAAGTTCCGTAAATTTTTTGATGACTATCTCAACTGAATTATCTTGCTACTTCTCTGTTTGTTATGTCCAGTAAACACTTAGGAACCTGTTGAATTAGGCTCCTAATGGTCCACTGGTGGCTCAGATATGACAGTAGCTGTCGAGATTAAATGGTTTAGTGTGTCTTGAGACAGAAGTCTTCCACTAAAATGATTCCGAACCCCAATCTTTGAACAGGAGAACTCCAGACAAATTGAGGAGATTGTCGCGATGGTTCGTGGTGAACTGTCAAAGCAAAATAGAACTACGCTTCAAGCTCTCATTGTGTTGACTGTCCATGCGCGCGATGTCGTACAGACGCTGGTTGACGAGAAGGTCAAGAGTGATACCGAGTTCTCTTGGCTCAGCCAGTTACGCTACTATTGGGAAAGCGATGATTTACAAACACGCATGATTAACTCGACCCTTGCGTGAGTTACACTTCTCCCCTAATAATTCAACTTAAGGCTGTATGTTCTCCCAGTGTGCTCATTACTCAGATGATGCATTTAAATCAGTTAAAAACTCATCAAATTATTATTTCCAATAGGTTCTGTTAGAAAAGTTACATTTAATACATAGAAGCAAATGGAATAGTGACAAAAGACTTTTAAACTTACTTCCTGTTGCTGCAGGGCTGGCCACTTAAGTAATTCGGCATCAATTTAGCTTGATGTGACTTGTAGCATTTGCCTACGGTATGAAATAATGGACTAGAAATGTCTCGTTACTTTTTAGCCTGCCAATGCGATCATTTAAGCTACACCATTAGCAGTGAATTTGGGCATCGGTAGACTTTGACTGTGTGATCTAGGGTTCATGACAACTTCAGCATTACAAAGCTCCAGTTAAGCGACATGGCAGGTTTTTAACACCTGGTAATTGCATAAGCTGAAGTTACCTATTAAGGTTTTGTTTCTAACGACTGTTGGGCTAGTCGATTCTACTGTTGGTATTACGTTTCTAGTTATGGTTATGAATACCTGGGCAATACTCCACGTCTTGTAATCACTCCTCTGACCGACCGGTGCTACCGAACGCTTTTTGGGGCTCTTCACCTTCACCTGGGTGGCGCCCCAGAAGGACCTGCAGGGACCGGGAAGACCGAAACCACAAAGGATCTTGCTAAAGCCGTCGCAAAACAATGCGTTGTTTTTAATTGTTCCGACGGTCTTGACTACATTGCTTTGGGCAAGTTTTTCAAAGTGAGTCACTGTTCTCCATGGTAATATAAAAGATTTCTTGAATCAGCTTTACAATCTTGGCTAAATACCCCGATTAATCTCGTAGAGTTTTATTTAAGAAAATTCTAGAAGCATTTCAGGAACTGTTACGTCTGCAAATAACCATTTATTCATCAATTTATAATTAAATATCTTAAATATTAAGGGTTTGGCTTCGTGTGGCGCTTGGTCATGTTTCGACGAATTCAATCGAATTGATCTGGAGGTATTGTCTGTCGTCGCACAGCAAATTTTGACTATCCAAATGGCAATTAACGCTGGAAAAGAGAGAATTATTTTTGAGGGTACAGACATTAGTCTCAACCCCACATGCGCTGTCTTCATCACTATGAATCCTGGCTATGCCGGTCGTTCGGAATTGCCAGACAACTTGAAGGTATGCCCAGATTTCGTATGGCAGCGCACAAAATTCATCATTTTCCTCGGCTTATTGATATCCTTTCCAGGCTCTCTTCCGCTCTGTGGCAATGATGGTGCCCGACTACGCCCTGATTGCCGAAATTTCACTCTACTCCTGTGGTTTTGTTTACGCCAGACCATTAGCCGTTAAGATTGTTGCCACATATCGCTTGTGTTCGGAGCAGCTTTCAAGCCAACCGCATTACGATTATGGTATGAGAGCTGTTAAATCAGTGCTGACTGCAGCGGGCAATCTGAAGGTGAGTACTCATGTAATTTTTTCTCATCTGATCGACAATTGTGCGATTAAGTGTCACTCAATCAACTAGCCTCTACGTAACAATTGGTTTCGTTGATTTAGCGTACGAAAGATTAAACTAGTCCCATTATATTTTATGCAATTTAGCTTCAGTGCCCAGAAGAAAACGAAGATATATTGATGCTTCGTTCAATAATTGACGTAAATCTACCAAAATTTTTGAACCACGATCTGCCTCTTTTCCATGGTATCACCTCAGACCTCTTTCCCGGAGTCAAATATCCCGACCCTGACTACGCGATACTAAATGGTGCAGCTAGGCGCGCATGCTCTCAAATGAACCTGCAATGCACAGATTTTTTCCTCACTAAAGTTCAACAAATTTACGAAATGATGATTGTTCGGCACGGATTTATGATTACAGGATACCCATTCGGGGCCAAAACAAGTGCCTACCGCGTGCTCGCAGAATCTTTGGGATATATTTGTGAAGAGGTATTTACTAGCATATGTCTTGAATAATATAGGGATTCGAATATTAATTTATCAACTTTCTACTTATATAGGGGTTGATGGATGAGAATAAAGTTCAAATTACAGTTCTAAACCCCAAGTCAATTACAATGGGTCAATTATATGGTCAGTTTGACCCCAATTCCCATGAATGGTCTGATGGAGTGCTAGCTGTTTCCTACCGGGCCTTCGCGTTATCGCAAACCCCGGATCGAAAATGGCTGATCTTCGATGGTCCTGTTGATGCAGTTTGGATTGAAAATATGAATACCGTGTTGGACGATAACAAGAAGCTCTGCCTTATGTCGGGTGAGATAATTCAACTGGCACCGACTACTAACCTAATTTTCGAACCAATGGATCTAGAAGCGGCTTCACCGGCCACAGTATCACGATGTGGCATGATCTACATGGAGCCTAACAGTCTTGGCTGGCGTCCAATTATGCGTAGCTGGATGGCCAAGTTGCCAATTGGTGTGGGAGATGCTCAGAAAAAGATTATCGTTGATATGTCTGAGCGGTTCATCGATGCAGGTCTAGCTATGGTCCGCAAAGGAGGCGGGAAAGTAAATTTTGGGTATATTTTTATGTGGGGGAGAATAAATCAGTTTTTTATCAAGTTCGCCGTTTTACTATGCAGGAACTCTCCCCAACAACCGACATTAACTTGGTAAGGAGTCTCACTAACTTGATCGACTGCCAACTGGACGGTTTCAAGGATGCCAACATTATTGGAGCTGTTGGCGAAGACAATATCAATTGCATTATAGAGGTAGGCTGTTCTAAAAGTGCTTTCGTGGTGAGTGACAGGGGAAATGTGTGCTCACGGGCGCATGATCAGCCGTGTGCGCAGTGGCCTGAGATGGAGGATGGACAGGTTAGACACACGGGAGAGGTGAAGAACCAAAGTGACTTGACTTGAGTCGACAGCGGTGATGGATGTGTGTTAACACAAGTTACCACATCAAAGACAAAGGCGTATGCGTTCTGTGTCCAGTCATGTATCAAGGCACAATCAAGGATCGTAAGAGTGTCTCAGCCACCCATTCAAAATGAATTTAAAACATGTATTAAAGCCATAGCATTTTAGTATTGTGCGATCCTCGCATTAGTCTTGATTGGCGATGACTCGGCGGGTTTTCTAACCGTGAACTACGGATCTCCTTTGTTGAGTTAGTGGGGTGCGCTAAACGCACCCTTGCCAACGCTGATTTTTTAATTTTATGTAGTGTATCTTCCTATTTGCCTACGTGTGGTCTGTTGGAGCCACTAAGGACGAAACAGGCCGAAAGCGGTTTGATAAATTGACTCGAGAACTCATGAACGGAGGCATGACAGAAGATACCCAGCATTACTTGGCGCTGATTGAACAAGTTCCGCCCCCCATGGAAGACTATAAATGTCCCTTCCCAATCAAGGGATCAGTCTACGACTACCGTCTGGATTTTACAGTAAGTAGAATATTAAATACAAGATGGTGACGAACTAAGATTTGAAAATTGGCTTCCAAAATTATGTAACTTGGCTCCGTAAATTCCCACCTTAACTGTGTTACGTGCATCCTAAAATGTAAATTTTGTTACTTGGTGAATGCTTACTCATTAGCTACTGAGAGTGCAAACTGCTGCTCCCTCGAGAACCGCGGTTGCAGCCTGCTTCCATCTTTTCCTGTGAACACTAGCATTTGGAGTATTTACAGAGGTAAACTCACCCTTTAGCCTCATGCTCCATGGCTTCCATGTTTTTTGCTCGTCCACAAGTAAATTTTAATAGTCGTTCGTGGTGATGTCTTGTGCACTACAGCTGTTCCGAGAATGTTAAATGAATGACAGAAATATCTTATCAAAATTATTTAGAGGCTAAGAACGTTGGAATTTATTGAAGTAATGACATCTACTCATGGAACGTTTTGTGGTAATGAAATTTACATAAACAACAAAGCGGCAAACGTTGGTTAAATCTTAGACGTGACAGTGGTACTACAAACAGTTCATCGTGTAACCAAAATTTGTCTTATCTTTTTAGCTTTCTAATTCCTCCAAGGAACAGGTAAAATACATCCGTTTTCGGCCTTCTTTTTAAGCAAAAAAATATTTACCTTTATTTGTATCGATTTTTAGGGAAAGAAGAAGGTAAGACCTCGTTTTTTCTTTCTGCAACCATGGGACATGAAACACCAGGAGCATTCTTTTTGTTTTGCTGACCTTATTCCAAAGATTCCTCTTTACCTTTTTTTAATTTCTGCAGGTCAAGAAAGAAGAAGAGGAAGTAAGTTAATTGTTCTCGAATGAAAACTCCAAATCATTGTCACATGAATGTTTGGCCATTCTAATTTGTTGCAATAATGCGTATTAAAGATTGTCTCTCTGAACAATTTCGTATTTGCCACTAGAATCTTGCGTCAACACCAGAAGAGCCTGATGACAGGGATGAAAATGCGAAAGAGGTGTGTAACAGTTTTTTTGCATACACGACCGTAGAAACTTTGGTTACGTTTTTATTTGTAAGGGCTGGTGTTGCAACATTCTGTATATTATGATTATTGAATCTACCGTCAAAATATGGTTTCGATGATAATAAATACTTTTTTAGTAATTGATTAATGCAAGTTTTCACAGCATGATATCGTGAATACCAGCTAATTGATCACAAAATTTGAGCATCTTGTTGAATCTTTACCAAAACTAGCCAATCTGTTAGCTATGACACTACGTCTCCATTGTGATTTAAAACATAAATCAACATTGTTCGTTTCTTTCGTTTTTGCCCATACCAGTATCCTGTCAAGTGGACACAATGGCGTGACATTGTCCGTGCGATGCCTCCCATTCCTAAAGACGCCACTTTCAATGAGATCATTGTCAGCACGGTGGATACTGTGCGAATCGCAAAACTGCTGGAACTACTCGTCAAGCACCAGAAAGCGTGCCTCTTTGTCGGCCCGACGGGAACAGGAAAATCGTGTTATATTGTGGCAAGTATTGCTGTTTTCATTTCTCTTCCCAATATTATGTATGTCTATGTAAATATAAACGTAGATTTAAAATCGAATGCGAATTCGCCGTGCAAAAGCAGTTTTACCACAAGCGGGACCTGTAGACTAAATTTAAGATCCCCACATCGTTTTTCTTAGAAACGAGTTGAAACAAGCCTAATCAAAGTTTTCCGTAGTATAATTTGCATAATATGTTAGATTTGCCTCAAATAATGGGTAATTGAAGCTTGCTATTAACCAGCGATTGCAGACGACCCGGTCTGTTTGCAGATAACAGGTTGCTGCCACTGTTACCTTTCCCTTCGAGAAAGTATCTGATGATTGTCTTAGTGTTCCTGGTGAGCCAAATGGTCACATCGAGGTCGCCAGTAGTAAAAGCCTCGGCATGGATCTCAAACTCACGTCAAGGCTGCCGAGTGTACAAGCTCGGTTACACTACGCTGATTTCCCTTGGATGAATGAGGCCAGAGGTGACAGCGATACGGTTGTTTACTGTGATTTGTGCCTGTGTGCATCGTAGGTCGTACACGCATGTAAGTCACAGACGAAAGAATACTGAGACTGAAGAGCCGCTGAGACACATGGACGCAACTGACACGCAGGTCGTCGGAGGGGGTGAATTGCTTGGGTGCCTGGATTTGTGTCAACAAAGATTATGGACGTGAATCGACATAATTCGCTACAAAACAAATAGTTAGATTCAAACAAGGGCGTGACCCACTTTGGTTGCCTCTCTCCAGGTGATACTAGGATCTGTCGCAAGAAATTCATCATAGGTAGTCCTCGTTTCTGGATTACATTGTGACAATGAAGCGATGTAAAACCTGAAGAGTTATGCATTTTGTCCAATGAAAGTGAGGGGGAGAAACAATGGAAGCCTTTCCTTCTATCCCCTTCCTTACCTTAAGCGTCTCCGGTTATTTTTATTTTAGGACTTCCTGTTGAACGTTCTGGATAGAAATATTTACAAGCCCAATGTGATTAACTTCTCTGCACAAACCAGCGCTAACCAAACGCAGAACATTATAATGGGCAAGTTGGATAGACGCCGAAAGGGTGTCTTTGGGCCCCCTGTAGGAAAGAAAATGGTTTGCTTCGTCGATGACTTGAATATGCCTGTCCGGGAAGAGTACGGGGCCCAACCGCCCATTGAACTACTCCGTCAATGGCTCGATCAGGGAAACTGGTAGGACTTTATTCGTTGAATATGCGGAAGCTACCCGTCCTTTAAGCAACACGCGATGGTCGATGACATTGTAATTTTGTGCAATGTATCATTAGCATAGGGTTAAATCCTATCTTTAAGTTAACGCAAATGCGGCAATAGTCTAAGGTTAGTGTACACCTCGTTCACACATCTTCATCCAAAGTCTTATCGGCTTTGCGGGATTAAATGGAACTCTACAATTCGGTCGTCTATTTTGTGAGATGAAACAGCAAATTATTTGCCTGTTTTCGTGTCTGTGTTGTGACGTGTGACCCCTGTCTTTTGACATGAAGGTTAGACGGGTTCTCCTCTGGACAAAATTCCTCTCTCAACACGTAATGCACTAGGTTTGCATTATGCATAAATACTCGTGAGCATAGACTTTCACTTGTATTGCTACTTTTTGATCCTCGTGCTCTCCTAAATAAACATATGGGTTTGTAGTAGAATAAAGCTAGGACCTTTTGTGAGAACAAAAACACGTTAATAGATCAACATATATTCACTTAAGTAACCTTTTTATTATCTTTACTAAGTTGGCTTGCAAGTGTTTAGAGTTCATGATCGGTAGAGAGTTCATGCAAATTGTGGTCTATTGTAATCGATGTAGCCTCCGTTCGTAAATGAATGGGGCAGTATGCGGATGCCCAAATGTTAAGTATACCATAGCATCGTTGTCTTTGTTAACACAGAAACAACAACTAAGTCACTGAAAACGCGTGTGGATGCGACTTTATAATAGATCACACTTTTTATTGAATTATTTGGCTATGCAAAACCACTGCTTTTACATGCATTTGATTTCTGGAAATTAATCAAATTTTGGTTAATCCCAATATGCCGTTTCTGTTAGGTACGATTTAAAAGACAATTCATCTTTAAAATTGATTGACCTCCAATTCGTTGGAGCCATGGGTCCGGCAGGTGGTGGGCGGAATCCCGTGACACCACGATTTCTTCGGCACCTCAACACCATCGCTATCAACGAATTCTCAGAAGACACAATGAAAACCATTTTTACAAAAATTATGAGCTGGCATTTTATGGTTCAGTAAGCTTTGCTTTCGGTATGGTTTTAACTGTGTGCGATATATTATTCATAGGTCACACTTTTTTCCAAACACCTTCAATCTTCGTTACTTTAATCAAACAGCTTTCTTCAATGGAGTTTTCTCGTTTGCCGCGCACTAGTGTATGTAATTTGGTAGTGTTACAATGCTTAGTGACGGGTTGTATACGTTTCCTTTTCGATAACTGAGCAAAGGCTCACCAGAATTAGACGGCTATGAACTCTGGGCATACAAAACACTTTTGGTTTTATAACCATTTTCTCTGCTACTTCAGGCTATGAAGTTACCTGATTAAACAGTTGACAAGCAAGCTAAGGATTTTCCTTATTTACATTCTACTTATGTCATTTTCCCGTTAACGGCAACAGTGGAACCGATGAGTTTTGGCAAAATGGTTGCCTTACATGTTATTTTTTAAAACCCTCTCAGCAACTTTTCGAAGGACTTCAATTTGGTGGCAGGAAAAATCGTAAATGCGACCTTCGAAATCTACCAACAAGCCACACTGAATTTGCTACCAACACCGGAGAAGTCCCATTACCTCTTTAATCTCCGTGACTTCAGTCGTGTCATTCAAGGTTTGCTGTTAAGTCGGCCCGAGTCAATAGGGGCGCCTATTGGGCTGAAACGAATGTGGCTCCATGAAGCCTTTCGTGTCTACTATGACCGTCTTATTGACGATGATGACCGGACGTGGTTCTACGAGACTGTCAAGGAGGTCATTAAGAATGAGCTTGATATAGAATTGAACGTTCTCTGTGCCAATCTTGCGCACAATGACGAAGAGGTTAGCAAAAATAACGTCGTGATCTGAAGCTTTTCCGCAATTTCTTCCTTTTCTTATTTTTACTTTTTTTATTACTTTTATAAATCTTCCATTAAACATCGGTTTAACCTCATCTAGTTGTTTTGCGATCGACACTTGGGTCTATGTGGCATAGTGGGCAAGTGAATAAATTTGACCGCAAAAAATTCACATCAATACGTCAGTTTCAGCAAGAACCAAATGGAATACGTGTGTGTATCTATATCTTGCCAATTAGAATGGTACACAGACTTGATGCTTTTGATTTGTCATTTGTGACCTTTATGACACAATAAAGATTGCACATTCGTATAGTAGATCATAACGTCTAATATTAGTAATTTTGTATCGCTAACCCAAAATTCAAGCTACGGCAAAGGTCTTATTAGGAGTTGTGACACACTCAAATGAATAGAACTTAGCTGCAATGATAAGATAACTAGCTCAAGTCTGTATATAATCATCTGATGATCTTGCTATTTACTAAGCTACAGTGTACTAACTTTTATCATTTGAGAATGTAATTTATTTAATGCAGGTTACCCTAGATGACCTGCGTTCCTTGATGTTCTGCGACTTTGTTGAGCCAAAGGGTACCCGCTTCTACGTTGAAGTACCCGACGTGGAGGCCCTGCGTAAGATCGTGGAAGCCTTCCTAGATGAATACAACTCCATGAGCAAGAAGCCCATGAATTTGGTTCTCTTCCGCTTTGCCATTGAACACGTTTGTCGTATTGCACGTATTCTCAAGACGCCACGATCACATGCCCTTCTGGTTGGTGTTGGAGGGTCGGGAAGACAATCCTTGACACGTCTCGCAGCGCATATCAGCGACTACGACCTTTTTCAGGTGATTGGCGTCGTTAGTGCCTAAACTAACTGTTTTCTGTATTAGGCCGTTCCATCTCACCATCAAGCATGACGAGAAGACCTGTATAAACACATGAACAGACTAATTCATTCTATACTTATCGTTTTTGATTATCCCTATGGCTTGCTCTGCACCAACTGTCATAGGCTTTTCTCAGACGGAACAAGTTATACCACCAAGATCACGTGTAAATACCTTCAAGATTGACTAAAACAGCATAGCGATACCTTGCATCCAAGCAGGCAACCCTTGAAGTGGATAAACTCAAACAGAGTGCTGCTTTAACCAGAGATCAAGATAGCAACAAGACAAGCGTTTGATATTTATGATTGTATACAGGATCAACTACTATCTGCATCCTACAAAAAACATCCTATTTTACAAGGCCAGGTCAATTAGATTCGTAGGTAGTTAAAAATTTGTAGTTAATTTTTTTATGCTATTGACTGACACCGTATCCAAGTCTCAAGTACTTTGACCCCAAACTGAATTAACTTACGTTAAATTAACTTCACCAAGTTCCTGTTTATTCCTCGCTATGATCTCGGGTTCACGTTGTGATGACGAGTAAAAATAGTCGGCTATTAGAAAACCCCTGATGAATTTCTATTGTTTATTGTGTAGATCGATTTAGCCAAGTCCTATGGCGTAAATGAATGGAATGAAGACCTAAAGCGAATCCTTCGCAAGGCTACAGAAACTGAGAACCACGCCGTCTTCCTCTTCACTGATACTCAGGTGAAGCAGGAGTCCTTTGTGGAGGATCTTAACAACCTTCTGAATGCTGGTGAGGTGCCCAACCTCTTCCCTCCAGACGAGAAACAGGAAGTGTGTGAGAAAATGCGGGCCCTTGATCGTCAGCGAGATCGAAACAAACAGACGGATGGGTCACCTGTGGCCCTCTTCAATTTTTTTATCCAGAAGACACGAGAGCAACTCCACGTGGTGCTCGCATTCAGTCCTATTGGAAGCGCTTTCAGGACTCGATTAAGAATGTTCCCTTCGTTGGTCAACTGCTGCACAATAGATTGGTTCCGAGTGAGTTTTTGCTTAGCACCTTTACCCAAATTGTCAGAATTTCAATCACGTTTTGTCGATAATTGAAAAACCTTAAACGTTCAATTTCGTGAAGAATTCAAAAGCAGCCCTAGTATTTTACACAAATGTCTCCCTGTCGATTTACGCAAGCCAGGTGACAAAAGCTAACAATATTTAGATCCTCCGCTGTTTCAAGTATTAACTAATCGATGTACATTTACTTAAAATAAAATTTCTTCTCGGATTTTCCAGTCATGGCCTGAAGACGCATTAACAGCAGTTGCAACGAGGCAGTTGGCCTCAATCGAGATGTCATCAGATGTCCGCCAGGGTTGCATTGATATCTGCAAGTACTTCCACACGAGCACCCAGAGTTTGGCTCTACGCTACCGACAAGAGCTTGAAAGATACAACTACGTTACTCCCACATCCTACCTCGAACTTATCTCCACATTTATCACCCTTTTGGATGAGAAACGGAAGTTAGTGACCGTTATAGTGCTGTAGTGGTAAAGGCTAGTCCTTGCAGTTGAATTCCACCCGGCCCCCTCAGAACTTTCATCTTCCCATTCTTTGATTTCATTCTCCTTAGTATTAATCTTTTCCTCCTTTTGGCCTTGTCAATTGCACATTTTGTTTTGTATTCATTTTTTATGTGTTCAGTGGTATAAACAAAACTGACTTTTGTTTTTTTAAGATCCGTTTTAATGCAAAAAAGCCGTTACGAGGTCGGTTTGGAGAAATTGGGAAGTGCAGCTGCGGACATCACCATAATGTCGAAAGAACTTATTGAACTTCAACCAAAATTGGTTCAAGCTAGTAAAGAAGTAGATGAGACTATGGCAGTTGTCGAACAACAAAGCAATGAGGCTGCGAAACAGGAGAAAGTTGTCCGCGCCGACGAAGCAGTAGCCAATGAGCAGGCTAGTGCGGCTCAGGCCATCAAACAGGAATGTGACGCTGATCTTGCGGAAGCCATTCCCATCCTGGAGGCCGCGTTGAAAGCCTTAGAGACACTCACACCGGCGGTAGGCATAAATTAAAACACTCAACGTTTCTACCTTTCCTACGTTCGATTTCATGCTAAACTTTGAAAATGTCCCTACTCATCTATTGATCATCAAGGTGGTTTTAAATTATCTCTTCTTATTCCTAAGCTTGAGCTAAGAATTTGATCGTATCATACGAGAATATGCACTTAAATGAACTAGGAAATAAACATACGTCGCAATAGCGCGGTCGAGATCTCACTTCGTAAGAATACAGAACAAGGCTCATATTACAAACCAATTATTTGTGTAAACTCTATAAGCAGTTGACATGGTCAGTTTGGAGGAACGATGAAAGTAATGATACTGTCTAATTTCCTTTAGGATATCACGATTGTGAAAACTATGAAGTCTCCCCCTATGGGTGTCCGTCTAGTAATGGAAGCAGTCTGTGTACTAAAAGGTGTCAAACCAGACAAGGTGAATGATCCCAGTGGATCAGGCCGGAAATTAGACGATTTCTGGGGTCCTTCGAAAAGACTCCTTGGTGACATGAAGTTTCTCGAGCATTTGAAGACTTACGACAAGGACAACATCCCCGAGCAAATAATTAAGACTATCAGGGATAAGTACATACCCAATCCAGATTTCAAACCCGAACGCATTGCCGTTGCCTCCACGGCAGCTGAAGGTCTCTGTAAATGGGTTATCGCTATCGACGCTTACGACAAAGTTGCAAAAATTGTTGCCCCTAAGAAGGTTGCCCTTGCGAAGGCTATGGAGGAGTACAATATTGCAATGGAGGCCCTCAACAAGAAACGCGCTGCACTAAAAGTGGTGCAAGACAGACTTCAGGCTCTCACTGATGAGCTAACAGCAAATAAACAGAAGAAGATCGACCTTGAGAATAAAGTAGATATGTGCACAAAGAAATTGGAACGAGCCGAACAGCTTATTGGTGGCCTGGGTGGTGAAAAGCAGCGATGGACAGATAATGCGAAGGCTCTTGGTGAACAGTACGTCACACTGACAGGTGACGTCCTCGTTTCCAGTGGAGTAGTTGCGTATTTGGGTGCCTTTACACCTTCGTTCAGAGCAGAACAGGCTGCGGATTGGCTTGCGGGGATTAAAAAATCAGTCATACCTTGTTCAGGTGAATTTAGTCTCGTCAACACGCTTGGTAGCCCAGTAGCTATTAGAGCATGGAATATCGCTGGACTACCTACGGACGATTTCTCGATTGAAAATGGCATTATTACGAGGTAAATTTTTAATGTCACAAATAATAAATTGCTCATTACCTTGGCACCAATCCACCACACAACTTTGCTGTTGCAGTACTGCCCGCCGATGGCCCCTAATGGTTGACCCACAGCTACAGGCAAATAAGTGGATTAAAAATATGGAGAAGAAGAATAATTTGGTTGTTGTGAAGTTATCAGACAGTGATTTTGTTCGAAATCTTGAGAACAGTATTCAATTTGGTATACCGGTTCTTTTGGAAAATGTGGGTGAAGAATTGGACCCGGTTTTGGAGCCGCTCCTTCTGAAACAGACATTCAAGCAAGGAGGAGCTTTGTGCATCAAACTTGGCGACTCAGTCATTGAGTACTCACCCGAATTCAAATTCTATATAACGACAAAAGTAAGACTGCTTAATGAGAGCTTTTGTACAATTACTTTACAACTGCATACTTTATCATTCGTCCGTACCTTTATGACTTTGTTGTACTAATATCCTCTAACATTTTCTTGTTATACAAATGGAAATCTTGTGCCTTTGTATCTGTTCAAGCTAACGTCAGAGGCACAACTCACTCAACCCAGAAGCACTCTCTGGTCACCGTGTGAGCTTCTTGGCCTTGTAGTTTAGCCGTTGTATCAAATTGATAACTGTTACCAGATCCTGCAAATAAAACATTTGTCAGTCACTTGTTAAAACTTTGTATATACATGCGATATTTAGACATTTCAGAGACACCTGACGTCATCACACGTACTTATTTAGTTAGCTCGAAAATTAGTTTTTTTATTCACTAACCAAGGTTTCTGCTTATTAGTAAAGCTCGAAGTTTTGTCTCAAAGTAATGCACAGGTTCTGATTCGTCGCGTAACTGTTCAACATGAGCCCGTTGTGCATACTGTAGGAATAACATTCGTTCAATTTAACTTTAGGTCACAAAAATTTAATGCCGTTGATGCGTGTGGTCATGCTTAATTTTTGTCTAAATGACTATCTATTCTTAATTCGTTTCAGCTTCGGAATCCACACTACATGCCCGAAATTGCCGTGAAAGTGACATTGGTGAACTTCATGATAACTAGTGAAGGTCTAAATGACCAGCTGCTAGGCATTGTGGTGGCTCGTGAACGGCCAGAACTTGAAGACGAGAAAAGCAAACTCATTCTTCAGGGTGCTGCAAACAAGAAAAAACTCAAAGAACTCGAAGATCAAATACTCAGTGTACTTTCTTCTTCTGAGGGTAACATACTGGAAGACGAGAGCGCCATCCAGGTTCTTAACTCCTCTAAGGAACTCTCTAATGAAATTGCAGAGAAGCAGGCTTACTTTGAAGAAACGGAGAAGAAGATCGATGTCGCGCGCTTGGGATACCTTCCTATTGCCATATACACGTCTGTCCTCTTTTTCTCAATTGCCGATATGGCAAACATAGACCCTATGTATCAATATTCTCTTTCGTGGTTCATTAATCTCTTCAATTTGGCAATTGAGAATTCTGATAAATCAGACGATTTGCAGAAACGGCTGGATATCTTGCAAGATTACATTACTTACTCTCTTTACTGTAATGTGTGTCGGTCCTTGTTCGAAAAGGACAAACTTCTCTTCTCTTTCCTTCTGGCAATCAATCTTGGGAAACATCGTAAACAAATTAATGAAGTTGAGTGGAGATTCTTGCTCACTGGTGGCGTAGGCCTTGATAACCCAAATCCAAATCCATCATCTTGGCTTCCTACGAAGCAATGGGATGAGCTCTGTCGAATGTCAGCATTGCCAAGATTTACCAAACTTAAGGAGAACTTTGCCAAGAACTTGTCTCAATATCAGGCTATCTACGATCATTCAAGTCCGCACACACTCCCTCTTCCCGAACCCTACGATGAAGAGATAAAGGACTATCTTGGTAAAATGCTTTTTATCCGCACACTTCGACCTGACAGAATGACGTCAATAATTCAGGACTACGTGACGGATTACTTGGGAAAAAAGTTTATTGAGCCCCCTCCCTTTGACTTACCTGGTTCTTTTGCTGACGCTAATTGCACAACCCCTCTATTATTTGTCCTCTCTCCCGGTTCTGATCCTATGGCAGCGCTGCTGAAATTTGCAGATGACATTGGCTTTGGTGGGCCCAAGTTCGAGTCTCTCTCACTGGGTCAGGGTCAGGGTCCAATAGCCCAACGAATGATGGAGAGGGCAATCAAGGAGGGGACGTGGATATTGCTGCAGAACTGCCACCTTGCTCCCTCCTGGATGCCTACCTTGGAGAAACTTGTCACGGAAATCGAACCTAACACTACCCATCCTGACTTCCGTCTCTGGTTGACCAGTTACCCTAGTTCTCAGTTTCCTGTGACCATCCTTCAAAATGGAGTTAAGATGACCAATGAACCTCCGAAGGGTCTTCGATTTAATCTCTGGCGATCCTACCTCAGTGACCCGATTGCTGATCCCGAGTTCTTTTCCACTTGTCTTAAGACAGGTGTGTGGAAGAGAATGCTTTATGGCTTGGTCTTTTTCCACGCTATAGTTCAAGAGAGAAGGAAGTTTGGACCACTTGGATGGAATAACCTCTATGAATTTAACGAGACAGACTTGCGCATCTCTGTTCGGCAGCTCCATATGTTCCTCAACCAATACGAAGTACGTTTTTACTGTGCCACGAATTCACTTTATCGTGTCACTTTTATTAACCTATCGAAATATACGAAAATTAAATTTGATTTTGGTTTGGATCGTCTCACCAATAATTCACCTGTGGCCTTCAGGTTAATTTTTTTGAAAGATAAAAGATCAAAACCGGCTTTTAAGCATTAACATAAATTAGTTGTAAACAGTAGACCCACCTTTAAATTCTTCTTTAATGAGGCTTAAAGAGAAATGTGGAGTAAAATAAAAATAGTGATGATGTAAGGAAAACGAATTGTATTGGCGCCACTCACTTTGATCCTATAAAATATTTCAAAACATATTACAGGAGACTACTCGTTGTCATAAGGTGTGTAGGCAAATCCCATCGTGACAGGTAAGTAGCCACAACTAAAAAGTGGAACGAAATGGATGTCGCGTGATGAGCGCACATAAGGGGTGCTCAGTGTTCAGTTGAATTTAAGTGGCATAACTCGATGAATTGTAAACACTATCCACGCCAATTTACCACTAATACGTGTACAGTTATGAACAGGCTTTTTATCAAGTAGCCGTTAAGTATATTGATAATGGTTTCTCCATGGTTTTGGAAACGGAATGCATTCGTCCTACTAATGCACCAAATCTGGAATTGCCGTGCTAGAACCCTAATACGGAAGGCTTAGCATACCTCCTTTTGTCTTATGCCAAATCGTCTTCTCGTTGGTACTTTGGACATTATTTTCTCCGTAAATCTAGCCTGCCGTGGCAAATACTGGCTCACGCATTGTTTGGGTTAAGTAGCTGATTTTTGCGTGAAAATTGGGTGATGAGGTGAGCTATTGCCTTTTTCGAGGAACATCACCGTTGCCTAACCGCCTCTCTTAGTCATTATTTGTATTATTGAGTTAATTGAAAGGACGGTAGAAAACTACAAGGTACCTGTTGCTTCTTCTGCTTTTCAGACGGTGCAATACGTGGCTCTTCGCTACCTGACTGGCGAATGCAATTACGGCGGAAGAGTTACAGATGGCTGGGATCGACGTACCCTGTTAACAATTCTTGAGAAGTTCTACTGTCCTGAGCTGGTCGAGGACCCTGACTACAAGTTTGATGAAAGTGGTTTGTACTTTGTTCCCTCAGAAAGATCAGTAAGTTCATGCTTTCAAAGACGGCTGTGCTCAGAACATAAATTATTTTGATAACCTTATACTCCGTGTTCACCTTTTCCGTTCCGACTTCGGTGACATATTGATGTGGTCACAGTTTAAAACGCTGCCTGAAGTATTTCAGCTTCTGTTGATACTAACAACCTATTCCCCTTTCGATAAATTTATTTTTGATTTACTTCATACTCTGTTATGGTTTTTTTACTTTTCCACAGACCACAAAAGATGCTTATCGTTTCCAAATCTAGCTAACCGCCTTGATTACAGATCCTCATGCTTGAAAAAAATTAGCTTTAAGTTAAAGTGTATCCATTAGCACCCTAATTTTTCAACCAAGTTGGCAGTAACTCAGCACGAATTCGCTTAAGAAATTCCAAGTAACTTTTGAGCATGTTTCGTTTCGGCTTATCTTCATAGAAAATTGGATTAAAAGATGCTTTCGAGAATGTTTAACAAGAAGTATCGCCGAAAACAAAGTTTGATTTTAAGTTATTTGATGATATTTCTTACCATAAATATGCAATTAACTATATAAAATCGTTATAATCAGGTTGGTAAAATCTTACTGGAGAAGTAGCCAAGTGCACATGGATATTTTTTTCGAACCAGTAACGAAATATATATTCACTGAAATTCGTAGCTAGTAATTGATTAACTATCTCCGTTTAGAGGAGCTGAGAGCCCCGATTTTTGTTAAAGCTTATTAATGGGTTTTTACTATTCCAAGCACTTATCCTCGTGAGCCACGTTTTTTGAGAATTTTCAATTAAACGTTTTTTTCTTTATCGACTCTTTACTAAGACTTGTTCAGTTAGTAATACGTTGCCTATTCAACTAGAACTTACATGACCTTTAACCTGACTTCTAGTATGATGAATACATCAGTTTTATCAAGACACTTCCCCTTAATCCCTCTCCGGAGATCTTCGGTATGCATCCAAACGCAGACATAACCAAAGACAACCAGGAAACAGCCCTTCTATTCAATAGCGCCCTTCTTACTCAGGTAAATACTGGTTCTACTCTAGTTGGAATGATCTTGCTATTTTCGCAAGCTTTTAATTTGAACCTCATTTGACTGGATGTTAGACATTAAGGACACGTGTATACCCGCTTAGATGAGTACCTGATTTACTCTCACCTTACTTCTGCCTCAGAGTAGTAAATCGCCGAAACATGAGTATAGGTGCAAATTCTAGTCTCAGGTATCGAAAAGGTAGAAACAGACACTTTCTTCTGTTTGGATTTTCTATGAATCTTTCAAAGAAAGTTTAAGTTATCAATTATTCCATAAGTGGATTAATGATGAAACATAAGGCTTTATTAAACAGCGGATTGTTCTTTCTGGAGTCTTATGATCACCTTTATTTTCGACCAAGGCTAAAGGCAGTTCATCTTCAGGAGCGTCAGAAGATGAGATCTTAGAAGACGTGGCGAGTGGTATCCTTAATCGTCTGCCCGAAATCTACAACATTGAGCTGACGTTACGCAAATACCCTACCCTTTACGAACAAAGTATGAACACCGTATTAGTTCAAGAGATGACGCGTTTCAACCATCTGGTTACCACCATCCGCACCAGTCTTGTCGACCTCAAGAAGGCCATCAAAGGGCTTGTCGTAATGTCACATGACCTCGAGAATGTTGTCACTTCGATTCTTGAATCTAAAATCCCTGCAATGTGGATGGGAAAATCCTACCCTTCACTCAAACCGCTGGGCTCCTATGTGAACGATCTCTTGCTCAGGCTTCAGTTTTTCCAGGTAGGTTGAGTAACAGCATAAAAGGGATGCTTGAGCCTTAGCAGAACAATGTGTGCTTTGACTAGCAAGTTATGAACGTCTGTTAACAGTATAGCCCTTATTTTGAGTAACATAAACTGTGGATGTTTCCTAGTAGGCTCATCAATGACGGTTACTTGATAGGCTACAGTCGTGTGACTCATTTATGTGGAGAGAGATGAAGTGTTTCAATCTAGAAGTGACCTGATTGTAACATTTATTGATTCACGGTATGATAGTGTGGCAATCTTCTAAATAGCAGGACTCAAAAAATTGTGAATAGGGAATTCGTGTGAAACATTACCTCCAAACGTTTTATTCAAAGCATACAGATTTAGTGGTCCCTTGTAGTTAGCACATTTTAAAGATTCAGTTTCCGCCTCTGTACTGTAACATAACCGCAACAGCTTCTTTCAGCTAAATAATTTAAGTATAATAAGATTGTGCTTGAGGAATCTTAAGGGACATAGTAAGCTGCTGGTAACTGTCGAGATTATCCAGAATCTTCTGTTTCTCATTGGCCACTTAGCAATTTCGTGTTACTTAACGTTTGCTTCAATGATGCACAACTGGAAAGCGTTCGTTGTAGGAATGGTGCGACAATGGTGCACCACCAAACTTCTGGATTTCTGGTTTCTTCTTTACGCAAGCTTTCTTGACAGGGGTGCAGCAAAACTTTGCTCGAAAGTACGCTATCCCCATCGATTTGCTCACATTCGACTTTGAAGTTCTCGATGACAAGGATTATGAGGAACCACCGACGGATGGTAATTTCTAATTAGGGTCAAAATTAAATTTGTATGCTTCCAACTAGTCTTTGAATTCGTCAACATCTATTAATGCACAAGTATTTCGAGTCCTTCAGATTTTGTGAGCACTTATATTGAGTGCCTTTACTGAGAAAATAAATATGTATAAGGTGTTTTTGTGTAGTATGATCTGACCTAGCTGCATAACCAACCTTTATTAATTTTACCTTTTAAACTAAATGCCTATAATCGTACTGATTGGACTGCTTCTATTTGAAGTTAGTCGGTTCTAGTCGACACACATCCATTTCCTTTCTTATCGTGGTTGAGAAACAAATCAGATAATTGAATTAAACAGTAAGTAATGTATCAAACTCCATTCAAAATGTATTAAATGAAAGAGTGGTATCAACGACCAAGTGGCATTTCAGTGTTTAAAGTGTACGGAATTAAAGGCAATTCGCAGCAACCCTAACCCTAATATTTAATGTGTGTGTGTATAGCTTATGATTAATCCCTAGTTCACTAACAGAAATGCTTTTAGTATGTGCACACCCAAAGAATGGATATGCGAGCCTTTAAATGTCGCTAGCATGTTTTTTAACGCAAAATTAGTACAAACTGATAAATGATTTTTAAAATCAAAACACAAGGTTGGTGGAGACGATATACAGTCAAAGTAGAGATCTTCGACCGATTTGGGGTTGGCAACACAACAGGTTGCTTACAAGGCATGGATAATGCAGGCCTTCATATTAAATGCTTCAAATGCAAATATGGGAAAACAAATTCGGGTATCCATTTTCATGTTGCTTTCGGGGAAGTGTAACTTTTGATCTGGATGCTGATTTTGTTTGAAGCTAAATCACACAGAATTACGTCACTCGTCCGAATCCTTTAAGGTGGATTTTAATTCATTATAGAGGTGTGACAGTTGGAAAATATTGACCCGATTTTCGAGTCGCCCCTTAACCATAATCAGGTTCATTGCAAAGATGGTTTTGCATCTAGAAATTTAAATAGGATTCTTAAATCTGACGTCATTTTGTATACTTGTACAGGTGCATATGTTTATGGCCTATTCCTTGATGGTGCACGATGGAACAGAGAAAAAAAGATAATCGACGAGTCGCTGCCAAAAATATTGTACGATTCCGTCCCGACTGTAAGTTTTTCCCACTCGCATCATATCAAAGTTACTTTGCTTCTACTTTCTGCCAAGTCTAAGTTTTTAACGTAGATTTCAAACATAAGAGGTCATGTACGTTAGATATTCAAGTTCCAGCTTCGGCTTTCAGTGATCCAGCGTTTTCAACTACAACGCACAAACCTTGAAAGGCTTTTGCTTTCCTTACTGTTTAAGTCTGATAGGATTTGATTACGAAGAATTCCTTGACTAATTTAAAAACTTTTCGTCTAACTACCACCCCAGGCCTTTCAGGAATTTCATAGACCAAGCAGATGGAATGACTTACTAACCCGTTTACAATTCTTAGATATGGCTGATTCCACTGGAGAAGGCCAATGTCCAGCAGCGTCACACCTATCAGTCGCCAGTTTACAAAACAAGTGAACGGCGGGGCGTGCTGTCTACAACTGGTCACTCAACCAATTTTGTGCTTGCAATGGATCTACCAACAGAAAAGGAACAGGAGCACTGGATAATGCGCGGCGTCGCCCTGCTCTGTCAGCTGGACGTTTAGTCGAATTCACTGACGCTGTCAGGCTTATCCCTTTCGAGTTGCTACGCAGAAACGTGCCAGTACGATTGAATAAAAGATTGGTCTTCAAGCTTATGTAGCTTTATAGCCTTAAGCCAACATAGTGGCCAGTTTAGATGCTTCAACTCCACTCCTCCAGTGCTGTGACTGTCGTGGCACTTGATTTTACTTGGAAACTGCTGTTATGCTTAACCCCCCTGTTTCGATCCGCTAATATCTTGTAGTAGCCTGGCCCCTTACGGGCGTATTAATGTTTCGCCCCAACGTCTAAACGCGATACGCAAAGAACGAGAAGAACAGCAGTGGTGGGCTAACAGGCCTAACCACGCAGCGCTAGGGCCAGTGACGTCTCATCAAGAAGCAGCTAGACGAATTGAGGCAAGCCCTCCTGTCCACCTTATTAGGTCTAAAAATTGGTCACTATCTGTGGAAATTGACTATCTCTTTAAATGATAAAGACAGGCCAACAAGGACAAACTTATTACTTCATAGAGAGAAACCCAACTTATTTAAGACATGGGGAGTTAGAGGGATTGATACACGGGTTGAAAGACATAGCGAAGCAGCTGACGGTCAAGATATGACGTTGGTCAGGTGTTTCGCCGCCGCACTTTTCAACAGGAAGCCGTTGTACACGATTGGCCCAGTGCGCCCCTCGTCGAGACCCGTGGGGCGATTTCCGGGTACTCCATACGTAACCGACGTTTTGGAGGTTTCTGAGCCCTCGCCGAAAATGCTTTTGACTGTTTCTATTTCGCTTGCAGTTAGTGCCCGATTTCGGGGGAATACCACGTCGAAGGTGACAATGAGTGAGCCCTTTTTGTTCTTGTTTTCGTAGTTTGGCAGTCCCTCGTTGGCCACGACCATCACCGCGCCAGGCCACGTTACTTCGGTCCGCTTCAACACCACCTACCAAAAAAAATGGGATTTTAGTTGCCTTACATCTGGTCACACAGAAATCATAAATTTATGCAGCATCAATCTAATTCAAAAATTCGGTAAATCAGACATGCTTCCAGTGATAAAAAAAATGGCTATTTCGCCAAGACAGCAACAAAAGTTGCCTTTTGGGTGACAATACCTTAAGGCGTCGAGCAGAGCAGTACGTGCAACGAGACACACAAGGATCTGGGCGTTTTAGGTAATCATTATAAAGAATGCCGAGTACAGCATTTTCAGAATTGTACACATCAAAATTATCTAACAGCCTATAAATCTGTTTATCATGAAGCCCAGGGACGCGTAATGGATGAAAAAGAAGCGATCAAACGACAGCTTCAAAAAGGGAAGTAAGTGGTGATTTCGACAACAGCCTAAGAAAGGAAACACTGACGCACAGAATACCTGACCAAATCCGGACCTCAATTATTTACAGAGGAAATCTGTAAACACCATTTTCTGTAACTTTTAAAGCAAAATGGTTAATAAAAAATGAGTTTGCCCACAAAACAATCAGTAGTGCCCGGTTAGTCTACGTAGTTTGGTTATTCTGAATTTTGTTCACAGGTACCACCACGTAGTGCGGAAGCGTGCAAGGGAGAGAACACAAAGTCGCGACTTTAGGATCTAAAGTCAGTCTCCGAAAACCGGCTTTTGAATTCGCATGGGTCAGATTACAGTCTGCAAGAAGTGCCAAGAATTTGCAGCTGCTTCTTTTCGCTAGTGAAACAAGACAAAGCGCTTTCAGACCTCTTAAAATTCCTTTAGAACGCACCCAAAAACCTTACCTTGTGGCCATCTAAATGTGTGAGTTCGAAAGCGAATCCAACCAATGCATCGGTTAGACTGATGCTCACATTTGTGAATAGATCGTCTCCGCGACGGTGAAAAATGTGATGTCTACAAACAAGAAGACCGATATGACTAAGAAAAAGATTCGTTACTGACAGAGCAGTTGCTAATAGCCCTTATATTCATTAGAAATCTATTTCAGGTTTGAATAAAAATGGGGCAAGAAATTCGAAAATCTAATTAGCATGTGCACAAGACCGGCAAAGGCTATGGGTAGCCTTTATTATTGAAAACTCTAATTGGATGGGTAGAAGTAAACAATTTGTGCATTGGTTTAGCATTAACTATAGTTATAAGAATGTAATGATAGTAATTCGACAGTTAATTAAACACAAGCCTTGTGTAAACGTACGGTTGACTAAATATTTAAATTTTCAAAATTAACTAATAAGCTATTTAACCCCAGAACGTAATACAAGAATAGGTTGTGAATAGGTGATCAGTTAAAGGAAACGTAACTAGTGCAACAACGCCTTTTGGTTAATAATACTCAAAAATGCACCTCTAAAGGCAGGCGAATTTCGACGCGGTAGCTGGTGTTAAAAAGAACTAAAGCAAAGGTGCTACACAGTCATTATCTCAAAACTAGATTGTGTTCATAAAATCCAGAACAGGATTGCTGACCGATATATTTTGTGAAAAAAAATGACAAAAATTACTTTGAATAGAATACATGATACTTTAAAGAACGCTGATGATGGATTTCCGCAGATCAGACCATAGCTTTTTCTAAGTTTAAAAGTGGAGAATTTCTTCATAAAATAAACACATACAAACTCACGCTTGTTGTCTGATAATAAATTTAAGGTCACCGTTGTCACCATCCGGATGTGGTTCACCCTCTCCAGGGAAGGAAAAAGTGTAGCCATCAGGCATTCCAGGTTCAATTTCCACTTCAACTTGCCTATCTTCAGTTATAAACCTAGTATTGTAAAGATTGCAGAATTTAGTTTTATTTGGAGCACGCAAAATAACAATGAGCAGGTTTATTGAAAGCCACTTATTGACATTACCAAAAAAACTTACTCAAAATTTGGACATTCACTACAAACGCGTTGCTGTACCATTTGGAAGCGACCAGGACCTAGGTACTGTGTTTTCATTTCCATATGGCAATTGCATTCGCGAGTGCCTGGTTTCGACTTCTTTACAGGCCTAGACCGAACTATGTCAACGAACTCGCCGTTATAGAGTTCGGTGAGGGTAACAGGAAGATCCATAAGGACATCTGCTCCGCGAAGGCCACCTTCATTTTGATGCATATTGGAGCCACCACCAAACATAGAACTAAAAACACTGGAAAATCCAAAATCCGGAAAGCCATCCCCACCGTCGTTCTCACAAGCTTTACGCCCTTGACCGGCGTCATATCGCCGCCTTTTATCAGGGTCTGACAAACACTACAAAGATTCACAATACTAATCAAATAGGAAGGAAACCGAAAAAGTGAACCTCATGCACACAAACCAACCTCATATGCAAATGATATTTCCTTGAATTTCTTCTCTGTATCTGGATCGCTATTTTTATCAGGGTGGTATTTTTTTGCAAGTCTCCGATAGGCTCTTTTAATATCTGTGTTTGTAGCTGAGCTTGTTATTTCAAGGTGTTCGTAAAGATTTTGGCTAAATGGGGGTGATGATATCACGAAAACCGTTTACCATAAGATAACCCGAGGCAACAAAGCCAAAAGCGCAAGAAAACCGACAAGGTACATCTCTACACCCAAGGAACCAATCCGCACAAAATACGACCTACCAGTGAAAAAATGCGTTGTGCAAATATGATTGGTCGCAAGTTCATGTTGAACAAAATTCGAAAATGAGAAAGCATATGAGGACGATTTCACAACTTGAGTTCCATAATATCGTAAAATGGCACCCAGCAATATTTTCTGTACAATATTTTGCACATTGATTCGATTATTACTTAGCTCCAATTGTAAGATGTGGGTTTATGTCGGAAACCTTCTAAAAAAAAAGGAAAAATTTTAAGTTATTAATCTGTGTTATGCTAGGTTCTGCACACTTTACAGTAATAATAGTGATGTTTGAATTTATTTGTCAAGCTGTTGCAGTTAGTCATAAAAATGGCGGGATTGTGTGCCAGGGGCTAATTCGTATTAGCACTTAAATCTTATTTTAAGACCTTTAGCATAAGCCCATTGTATATATGCCCTTTATTTCGTATCTGCACAATTTAATTAAATCTGATAATTCCAGGGTCGAGGAAGATCTTATTCATGGGTAAATTTTAGCGCATTCTATCAGCTCCGATTTTCAAAACCGGGGTATTAGAAATTATTTTAAGGCAAGCATAGATCTGTGAATTCTTAGTTAAGGAAATAATAAACACAAAAGAACCTGGAAGAAAATACCTAACCAATGTGAAATTCTAAATTTTAGCAATTCGTAATGAACAGGAACGCATATTTGACACTGCGTAGTATTTAACATTACAATAGAGCCCATATCTGATAGACATGATGGGTACACTGGGGAAAACATGTATAATTCCTCGCCACATTCAGAATTTGAGGAAATGAGCTATTAACATAAATGCTTGTCATTTTCGCTAATATCAATTAACCCTCCCTGATTAAACCAAGTTTTGAATATTTACGAAATGGTCAGCTCATTGATGGGGACGGTGCTTTAAAACACAAGCTGGTTTGTGAGGGCTAAATTTTGCTTGCGCAAGGATAAGATGATTTCGAGGATCAAGCATCCCCAAGACCATATATTACAACATACGTACAATTTTCCATTCCTACTATCTACTACGATTCATGTACACCGACCTAAACTTTCATTTTCCTCCTTTCTCCTATTGGTCCATGCACCTTTGACTGTTCCATTTCCTCTTATTCGCACACGAGGCCGCCCAACCCGTACACAAGCGGACGCATGTGAACGTATATTCAGCCTCTGGCTGAGAAGATAAACGCACTAGCGATAAAGTTAACGTGGACCTTCCATAGAAGCCGTTACATAAAACATATTTTTTAGGTAAATATTTAAATATCAACCTTCAAAAAGAAAAAATATTCCAAAATTAGCTACATTAAAGGCAATATTTTATTTACAGCGTTACAAAGCACTAAAAACTCCGTTGAAGCGTTGTTGCCGCTACCTGGAGAAGACACTCACGGGCGTCAGTGGCTTTAAAATGACTTAATTGGCGCTGGGCTTCCTGGAAGTGAAATTCAGCCAACATTCGAGTTTGACCGATCCCGTTGGACTAAAATCGCAAATAGCAATCAACGTAATTAACATACAAAAGCGTACGTGCTTCTTACGCTCGAGTAATAACCTTCATGTAAACAAGCGACTTCATTGCCAGACCAAATTTTATTTATTGCGAAAAAGTAGACTCCCAATGTAGCCAATTGCCCCCAAATATTTAAAAAAACGATAAAAAATCCTTCCAACAAGAGAGCCGGACCATTTACTTGCTAAAATACTTCCCTTGTTTTTACTAATAAATACAAAGTGATAATTTCCACTTGCAGTGGCTTCAAAAGTGAGCGAATTCAAAGCTAAATTTAGCATTTTTCCTAATCGGTTTCGTAAATTGATTTCTGGCCAGCTGGCGGGGAGTCATTTCTACATTCGAACCAATTTTACTTTGTGGGTTGATTCATGATCTGATGAAAGACTTAACTCATCCTTCACTATAAGGACAAAGGGAATTTTTTTATAGATAAGCGAACCACTTACATCGCGAACGAACTCGAAGGCCTTTTTCTGGTCATCAGCCGAAGTGAGTTTGGCTTCTAACATCATTTCAAGTTCAGGAAACTAAAAAAGCACACCAATTTACGACATTACCGCATGTGCTGCTTCCGAAAATTAGGGAAATATATTTGACGATCTATTTATAGGGCTACAGGGGAACACAACGAACTCCGATGGATGATAATTTTTTACACAAGCTTTTTTTGATATAAACACAAGAGGTTCAAGTACACAAAACAGGAATCCGATACTGACTAATAACTACATGAAAATGAGATACGCGGCTTAAAGGTAGCTTCAAAAACGCTGACCATCAAGACGCATAATGTAATTGCAACTTGTCAACTTCCTTTGTAGTAAAACATCAACACTTCGAGTTTATCAAATAATAGTAGAGCAATGCGTTTTAAGCATTAAATTACTAAGATATCAAAAACACCATCCTGTTTACGTAGTTATAACATGAGGGAGAAAATTTGTAACTTAGTCGGCAATCACCTCTACTGACAACCGCAAATGAAAAATTCCCCGTATGTTGAAGTCGCTTATCGCGACATCACGTTTTCGATTGACCGTGGCATAAAGAGCACAAAAATAACCACTTACAAACCCAGTCGTAGACTACGATTGCATTCATCGCTATTAAGTTTCAGTTCATCATAACTTTGTTCTCAACCGTCACGCAGCAAAATCTTTAAGGTCAGCCTCAAAAGGCTTCTGACATATAGAGGTTTGATAAACGTTATACACGAGTGCCTCAAGCAAGTCAAAATCCGATAAAGTGCGTCACAAAGAAAAAATACATTGCACAAATAAGACATGTGAATAATGTCTAAGAAATCAAAGAGGAAAGTTATAACAACGATAAGAATTGGGGTTTAGGGCAAAAGAATGAACACACCTGTTGAGCGGCAAAAAGCACCGGCCCAGTTGCCAGGCCTAACCGCAAATCAGAGCCACCCGCCGGTTTTCCAAGTTTCGTCTCTTGTCCCACGAAATCCAAAACGTCATCCAACAGCTGGAACGCCATACCCAAATGTCGACCAAATGAGTACGCAGCTTCTATCATGACATCGTCAACTTCTGAAAGGATCGTAACCTAAGGACAAAAACTGGCACCATATAGAGGGAAAACAGGGAATCTGAAAAGAAAGATGAAAATTGACCTACAGCTTTGCAACAATTAGCCATCAAGCTTGCCGTCTTCTTATAAGTCTTCTCAAGATACATGCGAAAACGTTGATTTTCGTCAGAACTTGACGCCAGCTGCATGAATTCGCCTGAATGGTAAGCGCAGAAAAAATACTAAAGTACCACGAATTAGGTCATCAAGCACATTGGAGAGGATCGAAACAACCTCGGCATTTTCAATCTTTGCGAGAAGTTCAGATGCCTTCAATAGAACGATGTTCCCAATAAGAACAGTCTTAAAAGTATACACCATGCATTGTTAAACAAACCCTTTTACAGCCAAATTTCCGATATGCCGCAAGCTTTCCTCTACGCTTCTCAGCTTTATCAATAAGATCATCATGTAACAAACTAGCTGTATGAATCATTTCCGCAATGACCGCGACAGCGTGCTGTGCATCAGTAACCCTATTCACTGAACGAAATAATTACTAACAAAGAACTTGCCTAAATGCCTCCCAGGAAACGCGATCCTGGAAATTTGATTGGATGACTTGATCAACGAATAATTATTATGACCATTCGCACAAGCGGCCATCAAAAGGACTAAAAGGGGGCGAAGCATTTTACCCTGATTGCCGAATGCGTAATCCGTAACTGGTGTAATCCTACAAGTTGGTGCTGAAACAACCTATAGTATAATCTATTTTTGGCGCATTACATCCTTTATATTGATAGGTATTTGGTCGACATCGGACCGCGCAAATATTTCGACCTCCTTCACAGACCCAGCGGATTGTTTTGAAGCAAAAACACTGGCACGAGAGAATCTCGGTTGTAATCGTTCCGCAACAACATTGTACTTGAGACGAAGTAGTCTCGTTGATACGTCAAAATGAGAATGAAGTCTACGAAAGGGCAAAAGCCTCATAGCATGAAGATCCTATTTACTGTGGTGTGATATGTCGTCGAATTTGGGCGCAGACATATTGGACCACCTGGTCACAGCCAATCCTGTGTCTGTCTGCTTTTCGAATGGCATGCAAGGAAGACAATCAGCCAACCAGAGCGGCTTGGCGGACTCAGTTGGAAGGCGCCTGAAGTGTGGCTCTGGCTTGTAATTAATCAATAAAGCCTTTTCCGTTGTACCAGTCTTTTTCCTATTATGACTCGAGTATTGTACATAACAGACCAAAAAAATTGGAGCAGACATATTGGGTCACGCAGGTTTAAGCCAATCATTTGTCTAGGTGCATTTGAATAAATAGGGAGGTAAACCTGCAACTAACCAGAGATAAGGACGAATAAGAAGCTGTAAATAACGATCGGGGCAGCCAGTTTAGTGGACTTGGATGGACTACATGTAATATGCAGCTTTGTCTTCTGGTTGATTAGCAAAGCCTTGCCCCTTATTCCAGTCTTTTTCAAAATACGGCTAGGGTATTCTACAATATTAATCTACTGTTGTGTAACTTGGATAATTCAAGTCAAAATTCAAACCTTTTCCTATTATGGACACCAGGTGGAATAAATGTGAATGCCAGCTTCAGTTTTATGGCTGTTAATCCAATATATCTAACATCCAGATTCATAGACAATGTCCGGGACTGGAACCCCTGCATAAGTTAGACACCATCAAATTATCAAATTAGGTAATTAGGAACTAGTTGGACTGCAAGTAGTGAAGGAACTTGCAATGGATGACGCGGCCTGTCTGAATGTCAACCAGAGCATTAGGCCCTCGTCTACATGTCGCTTCGGTCACTCTCTTGTCAGACAGGGGGTATTGGCAAATGTCCAACCGGATATTGTAAGTTGGAATTGTTGAAACTGTGCTAAATATTACATAAAAAGCTAACTACAACATTTCCCTTAAGTGAAAAGCAGTTAAGCACCGTTTTATTGCTCGGGCCTATTGGATCAAGCCAAGCTTACCCTATTCTTTGTCTTTGTGTGTTTTAATGGATTATGTTCGAGATCTTCAGGTAGCCGGAGATACAAACCGATAGGGTGTGGCGGGCTCCATTCGACCCACGCACGGCGGTCTGGCCGGTTCTTTGCCCTCCTCTCCCCTCCCGCACTCTCGCCGTCCTTTAGGCATGCCCGTGAGTCCGAGGGCAACACCAACCCTCCTAGTGGCCATCCCTTTTCCCAGTTTAACTCTCCCTAAGCTCTTGCCCTCTGAGTTTGTATGCGGTAGTATGGAATACCTCCGGTTCTTCCAGCTATTCTTCTATCGTGTGCTCGGTAGCTTACCATGATGGTGTGGCTATCTAAGAAGGATGGGCTAACAATTATCTCCCTATTTAGGTCCCCGCTTGCTAGGCGCGTTAAAATGTGAACTATATGATGAGGGGCGCAGCTAGTGTAGATGACATGGATGGTTTCGGCAAGTGGGCAAGGGTATCCTGCGTGGTGTAGTGCTAAAATTAGTTTTGGACATAGTCGATCGCACCAAAAGCTTAACAAGTTCTTAGTTTGAATCCATTAATATGGCTTATGAAATTGATTATCAGCCAGCCAGAAACACATACTTAGCGTAAGCTTTGTATATTGAGGGTCAGAGACAGTATGGTGGACTCGGACACGTGGAGTTTAGGGAACGATATAGCTTGTGGCAATTTGTAAAGCTTGCTTTGAAGTATTTGATTTTTCAATTTGTGGGCTAGGATATTTTCAGTATTCTTTAAATCGACCCACATATTTCCGATCACTAAATAAGCTCATTTTATCCTCATCCTTTGAGTGCTTGACTGAACTACAAAAAATCTAAGTAGATTCTAAAACAAAGAAGGAATTTGGGCGTTAATATGACGACGGCCTATGAGGCCTTAGATTTGGAATTTCAGTAAATTCTGTCTTTTACAAACGTCTTTTTTCAGTCTAGGACTCAGATATCCTACATACACCACAAAACGCAAGAATCACTCCTAAATGGATACTTTTCTTCGTAAACAATAGGCTCCTTGCATGTTATTAATTTTCTGGATTATGACAGGACTCATATTAATAAAACAAGCATTAGAATTAAAATCGTTGAAATATATTTATATTCAAAATGCATTTCAGTAGTATTCAGAATTGGGACTAGATTTACTCTTGTAAATTGAAAATATAATGGAACAAGTCACTACAATTTTGTTGCTCAGGATAAAAAATAAATGCATTACTTGCTTCCGTGTTGATGCGTTTGTTGATTTCCCCGATTTGGTTCATGAACTCAATTAACGACGTCGAAAATCTGATTAACATCGAGGCGACAGCAAAGACAAAAATCATTCTTCACGGTTGTCATTTATGTTTGCTTCTTACAGAGTCGATGAGGTTCGTAACTAGTATGTGATTTATAGAGTGATTGTTATGATGATTAGTTGATTTGATGTGGATGGAAATCAGAAGTAATATGTGCACTTTTATTGCTAATAAAAGTGCAACTCATATATCCTTCATGTTCTTATAACGATAACAGCATCATAAATTGAGCTAGTTACTCCAAACATCGAGCTTTAATTTTGGAACACTCAAATTTATAAAAAGGCCGGTAATATAAAATACATCGCGTTTATTTAACCAGCCTTCTGCGCTTTTCCAGTAGTGAAGCCTGATGGTGTGGCTATTATTTGGACTAACTGATTTTAACCTCTAATTCTAGGTACCCGTTCTGTAGTCACGTTACACAATGGTCATCTCTCTCTCTCTCTTGACATGTTTAATAAAAAATTGCATGAGATATATTCTTTCCCTGCTTTGTGAGTAAAATGGTTGGTTGGTCGCGAAGATGTCTTGAAGGCATAACAGAAGGGGGTTCGAACAAACAAACATTTGGGGTCAACTTGCACTAGAGATGCTCAAATAGAATAAAAATTTACATTGATTGTACGGTTAAACCATCTTAAATTTGGAACAATTTATTAAGGTCAATTGCAAGCACATGATTTAACCAGAAATTTTAATGCCGATTAGAGTAATTTGATTAATAAATATCAAACTTGACAAATAATTTATATTTAAGCTGCCTTCAGCAACATTAAATCCACATTTACATGGATAAAAGAACATTGTCAACCATGTTAATTATAGCGTTGACTCGTCTTCTAATGATTTCGCATTTGATCGAAATTGAATCACAATTAGTTCTAATATCAAAGTAAATAAACCAACCAAATGTGTTAAATAACTTATTGGTACTCATTAGGCATGTATGCATAAAATTTGCTTAATAATTTTTTGTGGGCCAGAAACCATGGTGTGAATTAGGGTGACCTCACAAAATATGTTTATACGGATGGTAAATGATGACACTGTAAAGTTGGCTAGATTGTAAACATTGACTATAAGTGTAGCCAAGCGTTTTATTTACAAAATTGCATAGCGGTGTTCTGTGCTTCGACATTCCTGCATTCAGACTTGAAGAATCTCTTCAAATATCCGATTAGCATCCCATCGAGCAGGCCCAAAACATACTTTCTTTTTGGTTTTATGGTGCAAAATTTATAATATAAATGGTTTTATCGAAGGTATCATCAATCATTGTTTTCTAGAATTGGAAGACTCAGTAATGTTTACGCACCAGAGCTTAGGAAAAAGGTGGGCATACTTTAGCATGCCAACCAATGCACTAAAGATATTTTAATTTTTGATTGATTTAAATCTCTTACACTAAGACAGAAATGACTAAAAGAGTTTTGAATAAAAGGTAGCAAACATGTCTAGAGTATTAAATAGTACTAGTAATCATTTGTATGGAGTTGGATATTTTTATAAAATAGCGATATTAAATTTAAATTTTTTCTCGGTCCGAAATTACTAATCGCTAGCATTGTTATTATTTGATTTAAGGGTAAGAGTACATACTAATTTGTGGCCACATCCCTTACTGTTATCTTTACGAAGTCATTAGAGGGTTTTATATACAAGTGAATTGCGAATAGTTGTTTAACCAAGTCGTTATTTGTGTCGCAGGTATTTACTTGCAATTTTGCATCTGTAGGAGTTTAGTTAGTTTCTGATAATGATAAATACTGCGTGGATTTGAATTTTTCACAGTTATTTTTCCTGGATGATTTAAAAATGGTAAATATTCAATGGTAACAGATCAAGTTATTTTAGCAATATGGTTGTGTCGATTATTAGTGACATGTTGAAACGGAGCTATTCTGCTGATGACACCCTGATTTCTCCTCTACCATTTTCTGTACAGTAGTTACAGATTTACATGGTTTTATACCGTCTTGTGTGCGGCGCCAAAATTTTTATTGCGTTGGTTAACGATTGGTGAATTGTGATTTGATTTTGCCGCCAATATAGTAGGTGGTGTGTTGTTTTAAGTCTGATGTTTGACTTTGGATTGTTTTATGATGGTATTCTTTGGAACGTCCAGGGTGAGGGTGGAGCAGAATGCCTTTCTTTTCTCTCTTTAACTCAACGTTTTATTGAAACGGTTTTCTTTACCGTTATTTATGGGTTCTTGGTCTTGTGGTGTGTTCCAAGGCTGAAGCTGCCCTTGAGTAATCGAAATGCTCCGCCTAAGCACAATCATTGGTTGGCGATGACTCACTGCCTTGTTTTTGGTGCGGAGATTGGCTACAAGCTATCGTCTCGTTCACTTATTTTCATCTTCAATCCGTGCCACGTTTTGACTGCTGTGCAGGTAAGTTTCAAACCGATATGTTCGCACCAGCCTCAAGTATTGTAAATCAAAGCCAGCTGGCACATACGGCGAATTCTGACCTCGTGCTCTCTAGGTTTATAGCTTCTACGTCTGTTCTCCCCTAAACTTTTAGATATCTGTGTCCATTTTTCGTAAAATAACTAGCTGTCACGTCTTTTCTGGACTAAAATCTTCCTATTTTTTTGTTCCTTAACGTTGTGTTTTATATTTATCATTTTCACTGTCGTAGTTTTACAGGCCTACTCATTTGGCCTCTTTTCACTTTCCTTCAATAGATCTGGCTTCTTTTCGCGCAGCCAAGTTCCTTTGTTACTGCCGTCTTCCGCCTTCATCTTCATTGTATCAACGGGACATTATTAGCGTTAATTTTTCCTATTACTTCGACTAGAAAGGCGAGTTACTTTGGTATTAACAACTTGTTTATCGTCTGTGTTACCGACTTGACACTAGTGTGGTTTGCCCCTGACTTTCCTGTAATTTGTTGTTTAAAACTAACCCTTCTGTGGTTTTGATTTTGACCTCAGAATTGGGATAAAAACCTAATGAAACTACTAGTTTACTGGGTCTCAATTTCTAAGCAGTCCTCCACGTTATCTTTTTTGTACCTATATATGGTCTAACCCCCCAAATGATGTCTGCTTAATTTTTGTCATGACGCAAATTGTGGCCAAATTCGTGGTATAGAATTTGTTTTACCATTTAAATAGTAACAAACGGCCTTTGTGATCATTGCAGAAATGATGTTTCCGGAAAATGCAGTTTACATCTTTCAAACAGGTTAGATATCATTAAGCACTGCCATAATCTAATTTTAATGTGTATATACTTTCGATCGTCTTACTTTACACTTAAAATTAGGAAAGTAAAATGGTAAGTTTGCGAAAATCTTCGCAAGCACTCCTCATTCTGTCCTTCTGTGCGCAAAGCTTCATTGTAACCATCTGTTGATTTTTAACAGAATTTTTTCATAGATGTTCACGCATTGTGGAATGAAGCTTGGGGTATCTAGAATTGTTTATGGTGTACTACGAAAACCTCCAATGCTTCTCATTTCATTCTTTGAATATTTCTGTTGCAATTCTATGCTTCTCACGTACCCTTCATGTGTCTTGTCACTTGTGTGGAGTAGGGTAACTTCGATATTGATACAAGATTTAAAATGACATTTCCACCTTTTGGAAACTATTTTAGCCCGCCCTTCAGGTCATCTACTTCGTCCAGCATGTCCTCATTCTTGTTATTCCCGCCTACATTCTAGATCAGAATTGTAAGTTAGGTACCCGATATCTAAATTCATTGAGTTTTGGCAAACTTGTAATCGTTAACTGCACCCGCTTAACGAGTGTTTTTCAAGATATGGGTTTGAAATTAACCTGTCTTCACGATATAGCACTTATGATTCTAACTGAACATTAATAATTTCTAGCTCACACTTACAAATAAGCTAGTGGGACTGCCTCAGTATTCTTGTAATTTGATTTTTTTCTTCTATATTCGTGTCTTGATTACTTCTCAAGACCCTTTTATGCACATGTTTCGGGTCGCCCACTCGCTTAGGTAAAGTGGCTTTAATCGAAAATTTGTTAAGCACGATCGCTTCTTTTTAGTTATATTTTAAATAACGAATGGTTTATTGTCGCCTATTTCAGTTGTTTTTTTTTTAACAAAAAAATGAATACTGATCTTCAAAATATCACATGTTTCACTTGTAAAATTCCATAAACGACGTTTGGGCTTTACGCTTCAACTCAAAACAAAATAAGTATATGTCTTGTTTGTTCATTAGTGGTTGGCAGAGCATTAACATGCCCTTTTGCAATGAAAAAATGACCACTTTGAAGAGTGTACGTAAGACCATGCACGACGGTTTTTTATTAACTACTTCAAACTGACGGAGAAACTAAAACGATCGTTTTGGTGTAGAAATTTGCCGCTCACTTACTTGTTAACGGTAAAGGACGGAGCGAACGTGTAAACGTTTTACAGTAGGGACGCATGCTCCTTGGCTGCTTACTCGCTCTCTCGGATCAATTCCAAACCCAGTATCAAGCCTTGTTGGGTAAATAACAAAAAGGAAAATTTTGAGTACACTGCTGTTAGGCATGAGTTAGATAACCTGTTTGCAAAATCATCGTCCACCTCGATGGCTACCTTGTTTTGATAGTTGTACTTTTATCGTGACTGGCAAGGTGACGGAAGCCGTGGGCTCTTAAATGAATTTCTTTTCGTAAATTTTGCGTCCCGATCTATTGTTTTGAATAATGATCCAGGTTTTATCCACTCTTTTTCCCACAACAAACGATCGGATCTAGACTTTGAAGACCTTTCAGTCACTTTATGCTATAAATTAATCTGACAAAATTCTTACCTACCGTCGTCTCCGGGCCAGTAATATTTTGATAAGGCGGTATATTTTTTTAAGTCAAAATATTTGTGCTTCATGAACACTTTCAATTGAATTTTATTTTATATTACTATTGCCTTAATTAGAATCACAAATGCGAAGTCTCCTTATAGTATTCAAAACTGTCACGTTCTTTCATAACGTAGTTCTTTGGTCATGTACTCCTTATATTTTTGTCCCCGTTAGCTTCAGCTCACAGCTACTTCCATATTTATGAACTCCCACGTTTAATATTGAATTCTGTCCTTCTTGCCAGAAAACTTTAGTCCATTTCGGACATTTTTATGTCAAGTTTAATTGGAGCTAAAATGTGTGCATTATTTCGAAGTAGTTCTGCGAACGTCACTAAAATGCAACTGTTGTTTATAATTTAGCCGTATACTCAACTGAACCTCTTGGTGATTTCAACTGGGTTCTGACTTCTCTAGCGATACAAACGCTCTATCACTTTCTCTTCTTACAACCTCTAAGTCTGGTATGTTCTACGCGATGCTGTTTTTAAATCAGATTTGAGTGTTGTAATCGTGTGATTTCTCTCGTTTCAGCTAACGCACGCCAATCTAAATCAAATGCTTTGTCCGTCTCCGTCTGACCCGTTCGCCGGACCTTACTATCGCATAGCGGCAATGATTCACCAGCCGTTGCTTATTATTGTTTTGGGAAAGCTCTATTCCATCGTCGTCCTATCTTTCCACAAGTCCGTAGAGCCCTTTAGTGTTCTCAGACCGCTCTGTTCGTCTTTCCATTGGCTACTCGGGCTCTCGGTCACTACCAGCGTCCCTACAAAATCCGATTGTGATAAAATTTGTGAACGGAAATTCTGCTCCATGGAGGAGTTTTGACAATCATGATTCACTTGCCGTAGTCTAGATTAACGCTGTAAATATGATCCTTCTATGCATAATAATAATAAAAAGAAACTAATGCAGTTTCCTCGCCTACATTTTAGTGGCTTGTCAATTTCAAAAATGCCTTTGCACCTGGGAGCAAAGATAACACTTCGAACTAAACTAGGTTGGCATGATGGCTTCGAACTCTAGATAATCACTGTTTTCCTATTATATATTCCCTTTTTTAATGCTTGAAGAGAATAAAATTACAGCTTCATTTGCCCTGTGGTTCTTGTTGCCGGCGTGCGTGGATGTTTGATTGTGTATGCTCCGTTTATTACTTCATGTTTAACTAAGTCAAAGTGCTTTAAAACCGCTTTCTGCGCAATTCCGACATAATTTACTCGTTCTGTGATCGTTGAATTATTACTCGATTACAGCCTTTATCTTCAAATATGCCTAGTGATTCCGTTTGTCTTACCATGATTCACACGTTAGGAACCCCAGGGTATCTTCTGCACTCGTTGTTCAATTCTGTTCAAAGTTGGGGCACGCTTCTTTTGCCCACACTCCTGGATTACATTCTAGTGCTTAATAAATGTCAGTAGTTATGTTTTCGTTGACACTTGAACTAACAAACGAAATTTTAAATGCCATTTCGGTGAATAATGTGCTTGTAATAATGCGCCATTCACCTCTCGTTTTGCTTTGTTGTGACCATTGTTTGTGAATAAAAAGTAAGCGTCAACTGTGGTGCTTAAATTGATTGTATTGCTGGTCTCCCGTTTATGAATTAATATAAAATTACGGTAGTTAATTTTGTTGCAATTTTACTTTACAATAATCACGGACGAGGAACTTTTTTTGGTTGAGACCTTAATGCAAAAATTAGTAGTAAAGGTAAGGTGTGTACAGAAAGGTATGTGATCTAGAGGTGTCTTTTATACCAGTTTTAAAATGTTACGGTTGAATGCAGCTTATAAAGTTGGTTTCACCTCTCCTACGTAGATGTCTTTGGCACTGACACGCTTTCAACTCTTGGCTGAAAAGACCGTTTACTTTCGTCACATTCCACCAGGATTTATTGGCGATAAGCATCAGATATGAATGAAAATGAAGAATTTTGCATTTTGTGGAACAGACGGTTGTTGCCACTAAAGTGATTTCATTTCGCCCAGAATCTATGATTGACTGACTTAATTATATTCGTACTACTGGAAGACCGCAAACTGTCAAAATGGTAGAAAAATGTTTTTGTTCCATTTATAACAAGTTGACAGTATCGTTAAAGCTTTAAAGCAAAAGATTTACCAGCTTGCATACGTACATGCCTTGGAAGCCGATATTCCAAACAGGGTTGATGTGTAACAAATCCGCAATCTCAAATTTTCAGCTTGAAGTATGCCACCGACTGTTACAACTGGCGACCAATTTAAACTGTCGAATCTCCCAACGGACACAATTAGTGCAGTGCACTTCCAGCCAGGAAAGGGTGCTCAATTCCTCCTGGCGTCGAGTTGGGACTGCATGGTGCGCCTCTACGACGTAACCTCTGGCGGTCAGCGCTCTGCCTACGAGCACGCCTGTCCTGTGCTCGCAAGCTGTTTCGCCGACGCACTGCATGCCGTCTCGGGTTCTCTGGAAGGTGCCGTCAAGTATTTCGACATTAACACTGCGCAGGGTAGGCATTCTTCGGCCTAAATGCGTTCAGCAATCCATAGTTAATTTCAACAAAGAAACTTCATTTAGGTCCTAATCATCGTATTCATTGGTTTCTATTTGCCAATCTATTGCTCGTGTTTTGAAACTGCTATATTCCCCACCAACTTTTGGTGTATTTGTGAAGAATTCACTTTTGGTAGTTTTACTTCCCCTATTGATTGCAAGGTTTCCAACTTGGGTTTCCTCGCAGTCACGCTGACCGAACCATGTGTTGACTTGTGCGGTCGTTTTTACTGGTTTAGCATTCAGCAAACATTAATTTCAATAAGAGGTGTCATTCGTTGAACCTCTTGATGTGTAGACCACTTGTGTTCAAATTCCATACTACTCAAGTCGCGCCACCACCCGGCTTAGTCAACCTTTGCCCAGTAGTACGTTTTTGCATGTTCTTGATTTGTTCTAATTAAAATGGTCATTTTTTAGTTGGGGTAGATGCTTTTGTCCACATGAAACAATCCCCACGTCGATTACTGTTTAAAAATCCTTTCACCTTCATATTATTAGCACTTTGAGTCTTTACCTCTCTATCATATATTCGATGTTTATTTAGTGCCGATTCATTAGGCTAATACCATTGAATAGCCTCTGTTTTATCCTGTTCAGTGATTTTTTCTACATTGTCTCAGGTTAGTCATCGTATCCCGTGTTCACACCAATAAGACATGCGGTGGCTGATCGATGTAGACCTATTAAGAGAACATTGCCTGAGCCGGTTTGTCTGGAGATTGCTAACATCAATGCCTTCCCCCTAACCATTTACTGTTTCCCATATTCTGGTAATCCTAACTGTCCACACCAATGCATTTAACATGCATCGCAAGGATGTGTGGCGCCCGTCAGGTGGAAGAATGGCTCTCTGCCACCTTCTGGGTTTTGTGTGGATTGTTTCCATGCCGTGGTAAAAGTTCAGTTGATTGTTTCACTTTAGTAACAAATCTCGGCAAATGCAATCGCGCTGTAAGCGTTGCCTTATATAGTCAGGCCATTGGGGCTTCCTTGACTGGCAGTTGGGACAAAACAGTTCGCATTTGGGACCCCCGCGCCGCCAATCCCCCCTCTAGTGGAGACGCCGGAGGTGCTGTCTCGGTCCACCAACAGCCTGATACTGTCTTCACAATGGATGCCGTAAACACCACTCTGGTGGTGGGTACCGCAGGCCGGCATATCGTGCTGTGGGACCTCCGTAACATGGCTCAGCCCATGGAACAGCAGGAATCAACACTGCGCTACCAGACTCGCGTCGTCCGCTGCTTCCCAAATGGCCAGGGTTTCGTTGTTGGCTCCATCGAAGGTAAGATTGCTTAAGGTGGTCAGCCTGGGTATTCCACTAAACAGAGGTACACATGAATACCGCCTATTGTGAAATGCCTAATCTTTTTTTTTACGAAGAAACATGTGTGAAATGACTACGTATGATAGATTTTGAGGGTGGCTTAATCGGTTTGTTCATTAATTCACGTTCAATTCAACCAAAATGGACGAATAATTTGTGTTCAAAAATTCAAATGCAGTTAAGTTTTGTTTAATATTTATACCCTTTTTCCATTCTGGTTTATTTAATCTTGTACTTCTGACTTTTTTCGCTAATCGACCTCAAATGCAAGACTCTCAAACAAGTAAAAGCTTTTGGACACAAGAAGAGCTCATTCTAATGTGTTCAAAAGTGGCATCGTAGTTTGAACAACATCGGTGCCACTTCCCTCAAACGAAGAAATTGTGCCCCTGAGTCTTATAACCAAGTGATACTTTAAAATTAACTTTTCTCACGATATCTGTTTCTGAATTCTAGAGGAATTTTAAGCAAACTTGCCATTAGCCATAGACTGGTCCCGGCTACCTCCACAGTTAATTGCTGACACGTGGTCGCGCCGCCACGAATTTCTTTATATACAGGCCTTTCCGACAGTACTCTTTTCCCACACTATGCGCAAAGTCTGCAACATATATTACCGTCCGGCTGACCACCACTCCCTCCCAACAAAAAGCACAACGCTATGCACGTCACTCTCCGTTCTCGTAGATTACAAGTGGAAGGGCTACTTTCCCTTGCACCTCTGTTGCAAATGAACGTGGCTAATGTGTTCTCACCGTCATAATAGTCGAAGCAACAGAACTTTTTGCATAACCTAACTACGTAAGCATTTGCCCCATCTTGGTAGTTATAAGCATACAATTTGAGAGGTTTGTGAGTTGTTAAAGTGAAAAAAACAGCATCTCGTCTCCTTTTGTTCTTCCGCATACCACGACTGAGCTGTGTCATGCATCGGCATGACAGTCCCCCAGGGAAACGGTGGCTGGGGTCGTGGGGGTGACTCAGCCTCTTATTAAACCACTCCACGCGCTTCCTGTACGAATCGAGCCCCTGTACACACCAGTTCGTTTGTACTTGGTAATGCGTAGAACGCACATGACTGGTGGCGGTTGTTAACCCATGGTGTTCGTAGGAGGACGCGTGGTGAGACTGACAGGGGAGGTGTGTGCTCACGGGCGCATGATCAGCCGTGTGCGCAGTGGTCTGAGGTGGGCCCACGAGAGGGGTGAGGGACCAAAGTGACTTGACTTGTGTCGACGGCGGTGATGGATGTGTGTTAACACAAGTCACTATTGAATTAAATTTGCTCAAGACCTCCCAAATTCATTACGACAAGTCATTGAAGTTGCCTCCAGGACAACTGCAGCGCTTTTCTTACCAGACTTAGCAGGTAGATATGTGGTAAACCCACCTTAACTGTTTCTCGTCAAATTTTATAATTTCAAATGGCATTAAGTGACTGGAGCAGTAAACTTCATAAGCACAACTTTACGGGGTGGTGCATAGGCGGTTTCCATTCAGAGACGTTTTATTGGTTACTTGAAATGGCGTGCACTTTCAGTATAAATCAAGGAAATAGTAGCCATAGCCGTACGTTGTCATTAAATAATGGATGTAATCTTGAAATAACACTGCTTTATTCGGCTTCTTTCTATCCATGTGCGTTTAATTTTGCTGGTCACGTGGTCTCTTTGTAATTTTGTTTTACACAAGTTACCTCTTTTCTAGTTTGACCCTCACACCTCGCAAAGGTTACCTATCCGCCTAATATTCCTTGGTTTACCCACTTACACTACAAATTACAACCATGGCATTCAAATCACATATTAGTCCTTTGGTGTCGTCTTGTGCGCAATCTAACGCTCAGAGCCTCCGATCATGCAGTTGTTGTGCGCGGTCAGGCAAGCTAAACACCTACACCCCGCGTAGATGCGCAAATCTACTTTTTGCCCTTAAGATCTGCGCTGACCGCTGCACCCACTTCCACACACCTATATTGCACGTTCCTTCGACTGCGCAAGACTGTGTCGTATTGGCTGTGTTCATAGAAGAATTTTTTTGGCAGCACAAACTTCTAACTCTTTTTTCTCTTAATGGATGCTGTTTCATATTTGACAACCTGTGCTTTAATTCGAAGATTTTACCCCACCCTTGGGTTAGCGTCCGTGTAGATTACCACACTGATTCGTTAAGAGTGGGAGACGCCGTAATACTTCGCAACACGCTTGCTTATTGCAGGGACTTAGATTGTATCGCACTTGTTTGCTGCAGTGCTTTACGGGATCACGGTGTGCTTGTGGATGGGAGAGCGAAAAATTCGCTGAATGGAAACGTGTTGGCAAATTGGAGCAATAACTTACATACTTTAATCACAATTCATGATGCAATGTAAAATGAGGTCCACTTATTGATACACCTTCTTTTGAAATATTACAACTTCCACGGAAGGTTCGGGACTGTTTCAGTATGTTCCTTTTGTAAAGCACTTTACTCAGCACGTTTTATGTCATCTAAGTTTTGAAGGTCAAAGCTTGTTGAAAAGAGTATTTACGCAGTCATATTCGGTGCTCATAAACAAACCAGTAGTTTGCACATAACATTTGCCGAGCGCTTCGCCAACTTCTAACACAAGGTGACTTGGACAGAAGTTGGTACAGTTTAAGTGTATATTGGACAAAAGTCTGTGCTAATGTATGCTTTGATGTCTGGTGAAGAAATTAACTTCGTCGAGCTTTGATGGTATCATTTCCCAAGCATGATATTCGCTTAACTCTTTCCCTAAGGTCGCGTTGCCGTCCGTATGTTTGACAAAAGTCAAGAATCGCAGAAGAGGTCTTACGTTTTCAAGTGCCACCGCGTAAAGGAGGAGAAAAGGGAGATCATTTACCCTGTGACGGCGATTTCCTTCCATCAGCGATACAATACTTTCGCTACTGGTGAGCATCTTCCAGCTACCATCCACTCTAGTTGATGTGTTAGACGTTGCCTCTGGCCTACTTAACTTAAGATCAATAGTCCTACTGGCTTCGCCGGTGTACTTATGTTCGTTCCACTTTTGTGACAGGTGGATCCGACGGCATGGTGAATACGTGGGATGGTTTTAATCGTAAGTGGCTGGCTCAATTCGAAAAATACCCCACAACAATAAGCAGCCTAGATTTCTCTGAAGACGGTACCCAGCTGGCGATTGGCGTGTCGTATCTTTTTGAGAATGGTGAGATTCCCGACCCCCCGGCACCGGCCATCTACATTCGATCTGTGGCAGATTCAGAGGTGAGGCGGAAGAACTTCGCTCCACCGCCTGCGCCTCCGGTTTCAACCAGTTCAGCTATCCCAGCGGTCCCACCACCGAGGTTCTAGCAAAGTCGACGAACAATTTCTAAGAGTTAAACTTGGCAGTTTTTAATTGATGTATGAGTGTGTGTGTGTGTGTTTGTATTGGTTGGTAAAACCTTTTATACTCTTGTTTTCTACATTGGGTTTTCCGCAAATCGTTCTATGGGAGACAAAAATCCTGTTTGTCATTTTCCGTTGAAAACATTTTGACTGGAAGCAGATCCAGGGTTTCCAGAGAGCTGATCAGCCTCATTCAGTCCTGTAATATTATTATCTGCGTAGACCATCAAAATATACCAGCTCCTACCTCGCAGTTACTGTGTCAGTAAAAAGAGCAGTAGGAACCATTTCATTTCATGGTTGTTGTCTTAGCCACGTACTGCTTAATCGCGTCTACCGTCTTCGCTCACCAGGGTTTCTTCCCCTACTTTCTCAATCTGTTCGACGATTAGCTAAAATTGTGCAGGTTCGTGAGGTCCTCTCGTTGCCTGGTTGGGGTTCCGTGCCAAGTGAATTTGTTTCTTTTACGAACCGACGCAGTATTTATTTGGTTATAGAAAAGTTGGTGAAACGGGGTTCATCCTAAGTCACCTCACCCATTTTGTTGCAATGGACGATAATTTGTTTATGAATCCACCCACCAAAGGTCATTTTAAATGTAATGCAGAAAATCAGGGCCGTTCTGCGGCCTCTTGCCGGTTGGAATTGCTGCATAGTAGATCTTGATTGCCGAAGGTTGGGCTATTGTATCACTTCTTTAACTGATAATTACTTTGAAGGAAAAAGGGATACAGTTTTGCCACAAATTTCCGAAAATAACTTGAGAGAAATTCTATTATATGTTGTACTTATATTCATGTCAATCAAGTTTTCCTATCATCCTTTGACCACACTCGACTCTTGCCCATAGAAAACTTCGTCATTGTCGAATTACTTGTGTTCACAAGAGGTAATTAGTCGTGAATTTGGTTCCTGTTGCATTTTCCACTTGCTTTGGCAAATTTTGCTGCTGCCGACTTGCGATTGCCTGCTACATGGCCTACCGTCTAGTTGTTTGCAATTTTCGGATACAAACTTACGTTTTATTCGCGTAATAAACGTCTTATGTAACCGGTGAAGGCATATGTTGTGAAAATGATAGTCAATATATTGTGTTAAAGTTATGGAGACGCTACGTGGGACATGGCGAACTCCACCTGCGGACTCCGGCATGTTGTTTTGACATATCACCAGTCAGAAGTTGCTTTGTTTTTAAGAATGGATGAGAGTCAACGTAGGCTCAAAGTTGTTTTATATTAAGCCCTAGCGAAAGTCATCCTGGAGTATGTTGTCTGAGGTGGTCTCATGTAAGGTGTCGTGCACCGTTACTGGCGGAGCGGGGATGGTCTGTGGCAGCTATTGCGTCACGCCGTCGTCAGTGGAGATGGTGGCGATGATGTTTTCCCGTTGATGGGATGTGATAGTGTATTTGCGTTGCAGCAGGTGTCGGTTCAATTTCGCGGATATTCTTAGGATCTGAATAGTGACCGGCCCTACCGGCGATGAAAACGGAACCTGATTGAGACGATTAGTGCGAATGCCTGCCTGCTTTGGGACTTCTTGGCTGCCAGTCAGAATAAGGGATTCTGATTTGTCATCAGCGCTTGCGACCGACTGGTGTTATAGTCATATTGGTTAAGTCTAAACTTTGATTCCTTCAATTTGAAAGACTAGGGATTATTTATTCGTTCTTTTATTACACTCTGCCTCCATTCTTTGTCAGGCTCAAATGTTACAGGCTTTTCCAACGGAATGAGCTGTCAGCCAATATTTAGAGGTTTCATGACATGAGCTCAAGGTTCTCAATAATATGAAGTATGCAGTTGCCAAAATTCCGAGCTGAACACTTTGCATTGACGTACATCTCTTGTAAGAAAGTGGCCCTAAATGTTCTATACCTCAGTATTTTAAATCTTGCCCAGATTTGTCTCAAATCAATTGATTTGATCCAGAAATTTTAGCATTGATATCAACCGTTGCTCAATCTCTCATTGCCAGCTTAACTTAATCTCGCTGGCCACCAGACTGTTCGTACTCCTTTTTTAGGTCCAGTATGCAAGTGCTGTCGAAACATTCCGTGTCATCTAAACCATGTTTGTGAAAAAAAAACTACTGGATGTAGTAGCACCACAGAATGTGGTAAATATTGGAGTTACACTGAATCTTAACAAAAGCATGTTTTAAAAGTGATTTTACCTGCCAAGGTTCTACACTGATTCATGGTTGCAAAATCACGGTAATGTATAGGTGGTTTATCATCGGTAAGCATGCACATAACAAGCTCTGGGGCCACACTAATGTTATCAAAATGTGACCGGAATGTAAAACCGGTGACCAGTAGAAAACGTCGACTTCTGGGATCCTGAGCCAGATGATCTACAAAAGGGTTCCGAAACGAGTTGGTTTGAAGCGCTAAGTATGCTACTTTGTTTGAACACTTACCATCTGCAGAGCTTATTTAACTGTCGAATAGTGCTAGAATTCAAGGTACAGGATTCAGCTTTTGCATGATTTTAAGCAGTCCCATAACAATTCAAACGAAATCATCATACTGTTTAAATCTACAACGCAGTAGCTTATAAGAGCCAGTAGATCCTTGCTGACAAATAAGAATATGCCTTTCCTGTAGTGTCTCAGATTTGACCTCAGATAAGATTGCCTGGTGCACGTGCCCGCTGCGGCATTATGATATTGTATGATTTAGTCGCATTAACCTGAGAGCAACTTCTAATGGTACGGCGACAGCTTTCAGCGCTATTCCAATTTTTCCCGACAGTACTCACATGAATTATTCGTTAGCAGGGTTTATATTCTAGCGACTGGAATATTTCGTAGTGACATACCATTTAGATAGGCACACTGAACATCGATGTGATGCGCCTAGCAAATGGGGTTGGAAAAGTTAGAAGAATATCCTGTTTCTCCTGCTGAAGGCGAATTACCTTTTTTTTAAAATTTCAACAGCTGTTGCATTTCTACGCCACTAACTCAGTGAATTAAAGGGCTAGAGGGAAAATTTAGACAGCTTGTGAGGCCAATGTAGACACATATTTCTCTGTATTGGGTTTTTTACATTAATGTCCAAGACTTAAGTGTTCAAGCCATCAACGTCAGGCCTTTTCTGGTCATCCGTTACAAGATGCACCACAGTTATGGATAACTTTTGGTGGTAGCCGAGTTAAGAGAAACTAAACTGTAAGACATTTCATGACGAACCTCTTTATACAACTAATTAACTCACTTTCATTAGAATGGACTATGGCTAATGGCTATGTTACAAAATATTTAAAAGCATATTATTGGGTCAAGTTAGGAGTTTTTAAAAGCTTTACACTAGTCTATTTTGTCGATTAAGTAATAAGATAGCGATTGTAGTTTTTGGCTGTGTAGATTATAACTGAATACGTGATCGACCCATTAAAATATACTTTAAACGCCACACCTGAACCAGAATTTTCGCTAACGTCAATTATTCGATTCGTGTATTTTATCGCGGCCTGTCTCCCAAGTTATAAAACAAAATGGATATTTTATATGCGTACTAAATGCATTATTGTTGTGATTATCTCCATTTAGGGGGGGGGAAACTTCTAAATAGTAGTTATCTTATCGGCCAAATTGGTTCCCATGAGTTTTTTGCCAAAGAGATAATTCAAGAGGAGGGCTTATTGGCTAGTTAAAAAGCTGCTAATGTCATTAAACGGCTTTAAATATGCATTTACATCAGTGATCCACCTCAAAATTTCGTTTTCTTCAAAGTTCCATGCTTACTTATTTCCGTGACTCAAATTGATCGGCCCATCATGCATTCATCCTTGTCTATCGTTCCTGATAACTTATCTCTTTGTTTGCAAGTTGTATCTTTAACTTCCCCGATTTTGTGCCTAGCGTAATTCCCCGTTCAGTCTTGGTGAAAACAGCCACGTATCTCTTATAGACCAATAGATTTCACACATCTGAGGACTTTGCACTTAGCCTTTTCGAACATGCTTCCAAAACAGATAAACTGTACAATCGCATATTGTGGAAATCAATTTATTACCCTTAATCAATGTAACTTTTTCGGACAATTTTATATTTTTATATTAATTTTTGTGGTTTAAATTCAAATATATCGTGGAACACGGTTTTCTTAAACAGATAGAGAAATAAAGACTGATGGTACGTAGGTAAATCCAGATGTAAGAAGGCTCTCGATTAAAGGCATTTCGCAAATATGTCGGGCGATATAAATACGAGATAGGACTTACCTATCTTAATAGAGAACATAAACATTCATGATAAGTGCTGAGAATTGATCTTAGGTTTCAGCTTTCTTCATCATCTCGTGCTAATAATAAATGCAGGTTGAAACCAGTTGTTAATAGTAGTAACAATGAAATTTAAGACTGGCGTAATTGACCTGTTATTCTGCACTTTTACTTACCCCAATTAGCCTCTCTTAAAAGCGTTGGATTGCAGAAAGTGGTAAGACAAGAAACTAATTTACTATTAATCAATCACCCACTTATTAAAGCAGATTTACACTGATTGACGCGTTTTCATTTTTACTAACTTTTATTGTTAGAATTAACTCGAATAATAAACCGGTTGACTAATTAGACTAGATAACATTTTAAATCGTGGATCCATGGCGTCAAAGACTGCTGCACTGCTAACAGCGAAGGCTGTCACATTTTCCTCGTCTACAACACCGTAGATCGTGTGCATGGGTCTTGTCAATGCGTTTCAACGGTAGTTAACCTCTGTTGTTTCTGTATACGGAGTAACCCTCTCTTTTAGTGCTGCGGACTTGCTTTCTCATGCCCTACGTATCTACATTGGAACCGCATCTTTACAATACGACGGTAAATGCATTCTGAAAAGGACAGGCCAGCCTTTTCAATGAATATTTTTAGCAACCAAAAATTGTGAAAGGCAGATTATTACACTTTCCATGCAGTTAGTAGGTAAGAAGTGAATCAAATTAGAAAAATATCAATTTATTTCGAGAAATAAC